TACCATTTCAAATGAAGCATAGAAACTTTACCTCCCTTTATATCTCTGTACCCTCCCCATTTATAATTGTCTTAACTATTTCCTCTACATTGAGAGCATCAGAAATGGTATAGTTATTGCTTCAGTCATCAAACATAATATACAAAACTTATGAGGATAGTCTCTTGTATTTTCCCATGTTTTTATTCTTTCTGTGGTGTTTTCTTTTGTCCCAAGATTCCTTCTTTTATTATTTCCTTTCTGTTTGGAGAACTTCCTTTAGCCATTTTCTTAGAGCAGGTGTGCTGGCAACAAATTCTTTTAGTGTTCCTCATCTAAATATGTTTTAATTTTCCTTTCATTCTTGAAGGGTATTTTTGCTGAAAATACAGAATTCTGGCTTGGCAGTTCTTTTAGCACTTGAGAAATATGTTTTCTTTGGGCCTCCATGGTTTCTGTGAGAAATTTGCTGTCATTTGAATTGCTTTTCCCCACTCTGTGTTATTTCTTGCTGCTTTCAAATTTTTTTCTGTCTTTAGTTTTATTAAATTTGACTGTTATATTTGTTGGCGTGGATTTCTTTGGGTTTATCCTTTCTGGGACTTATTCTGCTTTTTGAATCTGTTGGCTTATGTCTTCTGTCAAATTTGGGAAGTTTGCAGACATTTCTTTGAATACTTTTTCAGTCCTGCCCTCTTTCTCCTCTGCTCCAGGGACATGTGTGTTAGATAATTTGTTATAGTCCCACAGTCCCTGAAGCTCTGTATAATATTTTTCTATCTAATTTCTCTCAGATTGTTCAAATTAAATAATTTTTATGTTCTGTCTTCATGTTTACTGATTTGAATCATTCTTCCGGCCCCTCCATTTTGCTGTTGAGCTCATCTGTTGAATTTTTTACTTCAGTTATTGTATTTTTTAAATTCTAAAATTTCCATTTGGTTCTTTATATCTTCTATTTCTTTGCTGCGACTTTTAATTTTTCATTTGTTTCAAGTGTGTTTATAATTGCTCATTGAAGCATTTTTATGATAGTTACTTAAAAGTCTGTCATCTTGGTGTTAGCATCCATTGATGGTCTCTCTTTTTTTTTAAAGATTTTATTTATTTATTTGAGAGAGAGAATGAGAAGAGAGAGAGAACATGAGAGGGGGGAGGGTCCGAGGGAGAAGCAGACTCACTGCTGAGTAGGGAGCCCGATGCAGGACTCGATCCTGGGACTCCAGGATCATGACCTGAGCTGAAGGCAGTTGCTTAACCAACTGAGCCACCCAGGCGTCCTGATGGTCTCTTCTTATTCAAGTTGAGATTTTCCTCGTTTTTAGTATGGCCAGCGAATTTTGATTGAAACCTGGACATTTTGGGCATTATGTTACGAGACTCTGGATCTTATTTAGATCTGTTTTAGTTGGCCTTTGTGTTAGCGGGGGGGGGGGTGTGTGGCAGTACTATCTCATTACTGCCAAGTGGGAGTAAAAGTTCAGGTTTCCCCACTGGGCCTCTTTTTGGCCCCTTGAAGGCAAGGGGCTGCTCGTTAGTGCTGGGCAGAGATAGGAATTCTCTCTCCTTAATGATACAGTGGGAGAGGTTGGCTCTTTGCTGCCTGTAGCTCCCTGCCTGGTGTTCTCTGACACCCCAGCAGCATGGAGAGTTGGGGGGGGGACACCTCATTACTGCCAGGCAAGAGTAGAAGTCTGGGCTCTTAATTCAGCCTTTGTTGTGGGTATATGATGGCTACAGGTTTTTCTGTGGTATTTGACTAGGGTGGAATGCTTTTGTCTAAAACTTTTCTGTTTTGCTAGGCTGCACGCACCTTTCCTGCTTCTTTGGCTGGAGAAAGAAGACCTTTTTTTCATTGTTGGGGCTTTTTTTCCCTTCTTCTTCCTTTTTTGTCTACATTCATTGGCATTTTTGGGTTGCCAGCTTCTCTAGCACCAAGACCAGGATATATGAGGCAAAAAGAAAACTGAGCAAGCTCACAGCTCTGACATTCTTCAGTTCCCAAAGTCCCTAGCCAGTCTGCCTTTTTCTCTCCACCTTTCAGATGTTTATTTATGTCTCTTTTATATATAATGTCCATGGTTTTTAGTACTATTTGTGGGAGTAGGAAAAAGTACTTAAACTCCACCTTTCCAGAAGCAGAAGTCCCCAGTTCATCCTTTTTCGAGCAGTAATCAGATCTCTTATTCAAGTATAGACCATCTCATTCATAATCTGAGTTTGCAAACATCAGATCCCTACAGTACACAAAGCTCTTACCAGGCCCTATGAAGACAAAGAGATGAGTCTCTCCCTATTTGTATTAACATTTTTTCATCTTGTGGGATACAAAGTACATTTCACAGAGGAAAAAAATGCTCTTGTCTCTGTTCTCAGACACTACCACAGCAATGTGTAAAGTCCCTCCACTCCTCAGGAAGCTGCCGTCCTGTACACTCACACACTCATACATGTACACAAACACAGGTTACACTTAATATCACAGTGTCCCCTTCATTTAAGCACCATAAAAATTTTAAAGTGTCTTAAGTGGATGTGGGTTTTACTAGTTTGCAATACTAGGAACTTGATAGAACTGACAAATGCTTTTATTTAACTTGAATGCTGTTGTCTGAGGAGAAGCGGGTTTCATCACCAAAAGGATTAATGGGTGAAATAAAGAGCCTGGAGGGAATGTTTGGGTCCTTGAGAGAGTGGTAGAACTGGTTCTTAGATTACTATCACTTGGAAAGGTCACTGTTTCCCTTTTTACTGGTTTAAATCAATACCTGGCACATAGTAGATGTTCTATAAAAATAGCACTAGAGAGGATATTTGGGGGTTCACAGTTGGAAGAACATAGAATTTACTCAGCCCGCTAGAAAGTACCTTTCTTATTTTGCCTTGGGGTGTTTCTGTCCTGTCTGACTCTCCTGGTATCTCATTGATTCATTCTCTCTCTCTCTCTCCTTTTTTTTGGGGGGGGGGGCGGGGGACAGTACTCAGTGTCTAAATCTTGGCCTAGCATTCTTGTTGAACTTGTTGTTCTTTCTTAGCAAGTAGTGTTCTCAGAAACATCTTCATTACAGGTATTCTTAAACACTTCTGTACCAGCGTTGCAGAACGGCTATACCTTGCATTCACTGAAGTAACACTGTTCTCAAGATAGCAAGCAAGTTGTGGTTCTTGTTTCGCCCCTAAGCCCTAGTCTCACGTTGATCTTACAGTCTTTCCCTGTCTTTATCAGGGCTTTGTGCCTGTAAATCTTTAAAAAATTATTTCTAAATTGAATATTTCCAACATTCACAAAAGTCTAAGAAGGTAATGAGATTAAGCCTCCGTACACCCAAGCGCTGATGACCTCTTGGGTGCTGGAGGTCTCAGCATGGGCCAAGCAGCTGGAGCACAGCCCACAAGGCCTTCTGGCAGTTGGCCAGGCCCTGCCAGCAGTGTTGGGAACTTAGCAATTTTGTGTGTGGAGGTATTTTTCCTGGGCCTTTTCACATTTTTACTCCTCGATAGAAAGTGTAGGGAGATGGGACAAATGGACTTTGTAGAATCTGTTGGCTAGTAGACTAAGTTTTCTTTTTGCCTTCTCTTGTTTTTATACCACTGCAGTCTCTTCATGGGTAAAATGGGAATCATTATTCATTTATCCATTCTAGATGTGGTCTTTATTCTTAGAACTTACACTTAGGTAATAGAAACGATAAAAGTAAAACAGAGAACAGAGAGATAGGCTCTCTGAGAATTTAGAGGAGGTAGAAGTACTTCCGGCTAGACAAGTCTGGGAAGGTTTCACGGAAAGGGTGGATGGGAGACAGTCCTTGATGTGGATTTGGATATGGGGAGACCAGAGGAGCAGCAGACATGGGCCAAAGAATGCATCAAGGCACAGAGGTGAAGAGAAAAGTGTCCATCATAGGGGTTCCCCTTTCCTCCTGCTCATAGGAAATGAGAGGTCAAATGAGGTTCCATCTTTGGAATTCTTTGAAAGAAACGTCCACCAGTGTATGTACCTATTAACAGCCTGTCAAGTAGAGGACCTCACAAACCCAGTCTGTGAAACAGGATGTGTGGGTGCATGGAAAGACCCATTAAAGCCGCAGTGGCCGCCTCGCTAATCTCTGGTGGCAGGGCTACCACGGCCTACATGTGTAGTTTATGCCCTGGGCCCGCACCTGCAGAGTTAACGGATGGGGCTAAACCCAGCCAGTCTCTGCCAGCGGAACTGGTCCAGGCTGTTTCCACCCTGAGAAGCACCTTGTTCTGATTTGCCGAGGGCACCATGAGGGCTCAGAATCTGTTTCCTTTTGTTTCTTACTGGTGCCCACATATCATGGCCAAATATTTAGGATCTCACTGTCATATAATTTGCTAAATGACTTCCTTTAGCCATCTGTAGGGACTCAGTCATCATTTTGAAGACTGGCATGGTATCAAACATTTGCAGAAATTCAGGAGGATATACCCTACTCTCTCAGTTCCATGTTTGCCTTCTGTTCTCCCTGCCACCAACTCAGGTTGGATGCTCAAGAATCCCTCCACCACAGGTGAGGATAAGACAACAAAGCTGCTCAACACCTGCCTTCCCGGGTGACCTGAAATGTACAGGGCACTGGACCCCCCCCCACCCCTACCCCCCGGCTTCAGGGTCAGGTGCTTCCTGTCCCTTTGGGGCCATCTTGCTACCTGTGTCCTGGCAACCCCTTGTCGTTCCTGTTGCTCCTGAGCCTTTCTGGCACAGCTTCCTTGCTTCTCTATTCCTTTCTCCCTCATCCTGATTGGTTTCATTCTGGAAGGGGAGAGATTCGTTAGAGAGAAGGAAAAGGAGGATTACAGGTAAGGAAGAGACAGGAAGGAAAACAAAGGAGGAAGATAGGGAGCAACATAGCAGTAGAGGCCAGGAAAGTTATAATACAGGCAACATTTGCAGTTCCAGTGGGGGTGAAGGTGAAACCACCAGAGCGACATTTCGGGTGCAGGGACGTCTCTGTCACCATCATCTGCCCTCAGTAACAAGATGGCCTTGCTTTCCTCAGGTGTCCTCATGACTTCCCCTGCAGACCATGTCTATGATCCTTTTTGCCTGTGTGGTGAGGGTGAGGGATGGACTGCCCCTCTCGGCCTCCACTGACTTCTACCACACCCAGGATTTTCTGGAATGCCGGAGACGGCTCAAGACTTTAGCCTTGCAACTGGCCCAGTACCCAGGTCGAGGTTCTGCCGAAGGACGTGACTTCAATATACAGTAAGCAAGCATGTTCACTTTTCCAGACCATCTGCAAACTTTGGTTTACTTTTAACCATATATTGGGGTAATGTTAGGCTGATCACGTTGCGTGTTACGAGTGGGTAGGCTGTCAGACAGTGGTCTGGAGGTGGTGTGTATTTACAGCCATAGAATCAAGGGAGCATGATTATCCTACCCTTGCATGGAGCATGCCGCTCCATCTCCTGCCCTTCTGTCAGTGGAGTGCTCGGGAGCATCAGGAGACCTGGGTTCAATCAGTTTTCATGCCTTTAGTTTGGTAGTTTATTCTGCCTTAGATGGAGAGGGGGAGAGTCCAGATTATAACATCAGGGAGGGAAAAGAATGAGAGTGGGAAAGCCAGGAAAATAAAAGACTTATGGTTCTTGCCTTAGGTTTTGCTTTTTAAATTTTTCACCTTTTTAAAAATATTTTAAAAATTTAAAACTTTTCTCATTATGTAACAGGAGCAGGGGAGTGAATAATGAGCACAGGGAGGTCCCTCTGCTGAAGGAACTTAAAGTCTCATGAGGGAACAAGAGCGATAATTTAACTGAATATAATACAGTAGGGAAAATGCTCCAGCAGAAGCAGGAATCAAGTGGTTCCAATAATCCTAGTAATAATGGCTAGTGTTGTTGAGTGTTTTCTATATGGCAGGCACTACCCTAAGCTCTTTATTGACTTGTGAGGTGGGTAATAGTATTCTACCTGTTTTCCAGAGGAGGAAAGTGAGGTTAAGGGACTTAGCTGAGGTTGTCCTGTTAATACGTGGTATGGCCAAGATCTGAATGCAGGCAGCTGGGCCCCAAGGGCTGCTCCTCATGTGTTATATCATTTCTTATTCTAGGACTTAGAGCAAGAAGCCTTTCTACAGGAGGGATCAGGGGCTAGGCGGGGTTTGAAATCTCAAAATGGCTTGTCCTAGATTTTTACATCTTTGTTTTCCATTATTTAGGCCCTCACTTACCAAGTCCCCCCTGCTCCCCTTGAACAGTACATTTTTAGCTGGCCTGATAAGGTGGGGTCCTTTTAGGGGATTTCAGCCTCAGAATCAGAAAAACCAAAGGAAAAGTCCAGGCTTCACTCCAGTCCTGGTGGTGTGGTCGGGCAAGGAGGGACCAGTCTGAAGGGGGTGGCAGGAGGTGAGCACGTGCAGCTGTCACCCTGTGACATGGGCTCTGGGTGCTCAGGAGCAAAAACCGAGCTGCATCTGCCTGCATTTGTGGCTCCTGTCTCTGGGTGCCTGAAACCACCTTCCTCCGTGTCCCTTCCTCATTATGCTCAGATTATCTAACATCCTATGGGGACTTGGTGCTGAACTGCAAATAGGAAAACTTTTCTCTGATAAGAAAAAAAAAGAGGTCTGTGACTTCAAATGACATTCTGGGTGCTTCAGTAGTTTTTTTAAAACTGGAATGTAAAATGTTCTGTTCATTTGTATTTTGGATTAAATGGTCATCATTATTTTTCACAGATGAAACAGGCTTTTTTTTTTTTTCCATACAGGTAAGCAGTACTATAGCTTATTTTATAGTTAAGGAGTTGAAATATTTTCCCACAGCTACCATTAACAAATTACAACAAGAGGAATTTATTCTCTCACAGTTCTGGAGGCTAGAAGTCTGAAATCAAGGTGGCGGCAGGGCCATGCTCTCTTGGAGGCTCTAAGGAAGACCCTTCCTGTGCCTCTCTACTACCTTCTAGTGGTTGCTGGCAGTCCTTCCGTGTCCTGTAAAAGAGTTACTCCAGTCTCTGCCTTCTTGATTACGTGGCCTCCTAACCTCTGTCTCTAATGAAATTTCACACCGGTCACTGGATGGAGCTACTCTAATCCATTATAACCTTATTTTATCTTGATTGTATCTGCAAAGACTTATTTCCAAGTAAGGTCATAGTCACAGGCACTGGGAGTTAGGACTTCAACATATCTTTTTGGGAGACACAAGTCAGCCCACAAATAGGGGTCCTCTTTCCAAAAGAAATACCCATCCTAGAAAGACTTAACCCCTTCTGGAAAGTTCCTCATATAAGGAGGAAGTTATTCTTTTTTTTTTTTAATTGACAAAATTTTTATATAGAGACTTCCAATTATAAAAAGATGATAAAACAATACAACCTAAAAACTCTTTGCCAGAAACATCCTGAAATGTGGGTAAATGTCTATGAAAAAGTGTTTTAAATGTGTAGCTGAGCTTGAAAGAGAGAATTCCCAAGGTGCCAGAAATGAAGGGGAACAGAATATCAGGGTGCTGAGTGTGTGAGCTGACCCTGAGGCTCCTGGGTAACCAGTCATAAACTTAGGACTTGAGTTTCAGCATGCAGAAAGGGAGAGGCCTTTGGCTTATGTCGGGTGAGGTGTTGGAACAAGAGCCATGCTTGAAGAAGGCATTCTTGTCAGGCAACAGCCCTGGTGGCACGGTGATAGGTGAGAAATAGCTGCCCACCGGTACAGGAGTTGCCCATCTTTACTTGGCTTTGGATGGGAAGGAAAAACAAAGTCTCATCTAAGACATTGAAACCCTGCTTCTGTGGCTCATGTAGGATTGGAGTTTAAGTTTATATTCCCCCACGGTCTAGGAATTCCTAAACCAAGGTTCAATGATCAGTATTGGTTCCAGACTGATGACACTCCTGGAGTAGCTGGCCAAAGCAAATGGAAAACCACTCTGGAAGGAGTGTGCCACAACTCAGTCCTTGAGAGATTCTTACAGAGAAAAGAAGCTCCACACTGGTGCCCTCTCACCAAAAATTACAGAACACCAAAGGAGCTCTCCTACAAAGAGTGGGAGTCAGTAGACACCACAGAGAGAACTCGAGTCCCCAGAACCTGAAATGATAGCACGACAGTCTGGAAAGTAGTAGAAGAAGGAGAAAACCCTGCATCAGTTTTATGAGACCAGAATAACCCAGTACCACAACCAGATGGAGACAGTGCAAGAAAGGAAAATGATAGGCCAGTCTTACTTTGCGTAGACACAAAAGTCCTAAATGAAACATTAGCAGACTAACTCTAGCAGTTGCGTGTATGTGAATATGTACAAACTACCCCACCCCCACACCGCCAAGAAGACTTTATTTCAGGATGCCGGGATGATTGAACATTAGAAAGCTATCGATGTCGATTAAAGAAGAAAAATAGTTTGCTCTGTAGATGCAGAGAGGTCTGAGGCTACCTCTCCCTAGTGGAACATGCATCCCTCATGCAGGAATCAAGAAGAGTGATCACACACTGTCAGTGGCAAATTACTGCTCTCTAGTTTAGAGGAAGGACCAGCAGGGCGCCGTGCCAGGTAAGCCCAGCTGAAGAGACAATATACGTGCAGCAAATAGCTACAGGGCTGTTCAAGGCCAGGCAAGTGCAGGGCGCAGACCTGGTTGTGTCTGAGTGTGGGGTGGGAATACAGGGGTCTGCTCCCTGCTAATGCAGATGTTGCCCTTTTGTTTCAGTTTTTCTTCTTTGCGGGATGTGGCTTGCATGGCTATCTGCTCCCGCCAGTGTCCAGTGGCCATGGCCTTCAGCTTCCTGGAGACCCTGTGGTGGGAATTCACAGCTTCCTACGACACCACCTGTATTGGCCTAGCCTCCAGGCCATACGCCTTTCTCGAGTTTGGTTTGTAACCTTCTGCCTTCTATATTGCTCTCTTACGGCATTGTATGTGTTGAACTGATGGTTTAGATTTGGCTTTGACCATCAGGGAAAACCCCTGGAGGTGCTATGACATGTCACTGGAGATCTGCCTGGTACCCTGAGATTTCACAGTGATTGAAGTGGCCTGGAAGCTTCAAGCTTTAGCACTGTCTTCCCATCTCCTGGGAAGAGAATTTGAACGAGGGGCCTGAGGCAGGGTTGGGAAATGGTGAAACCCATCTCAGTTATCCACCATAATCCCTTGAAGCAGGGGTCAGCAAACTGTGGTCCGAGGACCGGCTGCCTATTTTTGTAAATAAAGTGGAAGGCAGCTACACTCATTCACTTACGGGTCATCTGTGGCTGCTTTGCCCCTCACCAGCAGAGTTGAGCAGTTGTGACAAAGACCATACAGGGTCTAGAAGCTGAAAATATTGACTACGTGGCACTTTAAGAGGATTTGCCACCCCTGCTCTAGAGCAGTGCTACTCAGCGGGTGGTAGGTGAGCTTGTTCCTCTATCGTGAGGTAGGTACCGAAAGTGAGAATAAGAAGTGTTTAGAAATTCATACAGTAATTTGACATTCCTGCAGTCTTGTTTTTTTAAAAAGATTTTATTTATTCATTTGAGACACAGAGATACAGAGAGAGAGAACATGAGCAGTGGGAGAGGCAGAGGGAGAGGGAGAAGCAGGCTCCCCACTGCCAGGAGCCCGACACGGGGCTCGATCCCAGGACCCTGGAATCATGACCCAAGCCGAAGGCAGACGTCCAACCATCTGAGCCACCCAGGCGCCCCACCTCCAGTCTTTTTAGTGCATTTTATCAAAGTATCAGTCTGCAACCATTTGGAAATAAGAAAAACTGGCCCTTGGCTCAGAGGTCTGAGAAATACTGCTCTGGAAGAGGATAGTTTTTTCCTCGGCGTTCCCAGAGAGGCCTCGTAGAGGCTTGATAATTACAGTGTATGCTCTGTTTTTCTCAGGTGAGTCATGTCATCCTGAGCTCTTGGGAGAACAGGAGTTGAGGTGGGAGTTGGGGGGCCTTCTGTGGCCTCTGTGTAGGCAGCTGCCATCTCTGTGATGCTCTTGAACGAGGGGCTGGCCACAGTTGGTGGATGCAGAGAAGTGTTGCCACATGTGCTTTCTGGAGCTCCTGCCAGAGCCCTCAGACTCCCTCATGGGACCCACCGGCTGCTGCATTTCTTTGTCACCCAAGAGGTGCTGGGGAAGTCCCTGGCACGCAGGCCTATGCCTGGTAGACCTGTGACACAGACAGAAGGTTCTCCCCAAGTCTCCCTGTGAGGCCTGGTTCACTGGTGCTCTCAGCCCCACTTCTTCCTGCAAAGAGGGCAGGCTGGCCCCGGACAGACCACAGCTGTGGCGTCCCTTGGCTGTCAGTCCATTAGCAGCTGTGGACTGTTCTTCTCCCCCCTCGGTTCTGCATGTGCCTTCCTTCTCAAGTGCCGTGCTTGATCTGACAGCAGACCCTGCCCCAGCATCGTGCGTGCTCCCTGCTGAGTGAGAGGAGAATATAGTAGTAGCGATTCTAGGTATGCATTATGCATCATTTTGCTTTGCCAATATGTATGAAACTCTACTTCAAATACTTATTAAAACTTGGTAATAGATTAATACTTTAAAATATATAATCTTAGTTTACATAATATATTCACATTTATTTGTAATTTTTTTCTCACATGCCTTTTTTTTAGGGTAATTAGTTCAAGAATAACTCTCTCCCCTTTTTAAGCTTTGAAACAGTCGGTGAATTGCCCTGGATTGTACTACCAGTAGTGGCTGAGCTAAGACTCAAGCCCCTATCCCTTGACTCCCTCATCGCTGAGGTTCTGGAAAGCATTGTTGCCTTCTCCGTGGACACTCATGTTTTAAGTATTATGCACTGAAGAAATCGATGAGACCAGTAATGACGCGTAGTAATCATTTGACCTTTAGGTATATCTCGATACTCGGGCTGACCTACTAGCTTGCTTACAAATGTAAACTTCATTTTGCACAGATTGTTCTGTGATATCCATTTTGATGCAGCTGCTTAACTTGGGTTGCTCTCTTTTTTGCAGACAGTATCATTCAGAACGTGAAGTGGCATTTTAACCATGTAAGTTCCATTCAGATGGAGAGCAGCTTGGAAAAAATTCAGGAGGAGCTGGAGTTCCAGCCTCCAGTGGTTCTCACTCTGGAGGACACGGATGTGGCAAATGGGCTAATGAACGGTCACACACAGATACACTTGGAGCCTGGTAAGTGGTTTGCTGTGCCCTGGTGTTGATGAGGGTGAGGTGGCGTTAGGTATTTCAAATGGACAGTGACTTTTTTTTTTTCCAATCAGGGAGGTGTTTTGGGGGGTGGGTGTATAAAATATGTGGGAAAATATATGGACTGATCCTGTTTCCAGGTGACTGTTACAAAACACTTGACTGTTATGATAGTGAGTTGACTGGGGGAGGGGGCAACTCATGATGACTTTCAGAAGAGTGACTAGCTAGGTTGTTTTCTTAACCAGGATGAAATTTACAAGTTTAAACATAAAGGATGTCACTTCCTTAGATTTGTACATGCCCTCTCTCTCTCTCCCTCCTCTCTATTTTTCCCTTTGACAGTGAATCCTTATCTCATCTTATCACTTAGTGCAACATTGCAAATCTCCGCTGAGACACCCCTGTCCCCCTTGACGGAGGGAGGGAAGGGCTGTGGGGATGTGAGTAGGCAGGGCCAGAGCTGCAGCTTCTAGTGCTCTCAGTGTCTGCTTCCCTGTGAGCCCGGGGGACATCCCTCTGTCCCTGCGGATTTCCAAGCTGAGTGCCTTGGCATCCCGTGACGCAGTGTGGCATTAACACCATTAGCCACTCAATACCTAGCACGTAACAAAGCATGATTTTTTTTTTTTGCATTCCTTGTTACAGTTACACACAATTAAACCAATTTTTAATTAAAATGGATATTTACATTCTAAACATTCTGTAGTGGTGTAAGAACTGAATCCTTCTTTGAGAGAGAGAGTTGTCTACACTGTAACAGTCTAATTATTTTAACAGCTTTTATTCTAAACTCATTGCTTGACCTTTAAAAGTGGTGTATTAAAAATGTTCACATTTTTGGCTTACCTTTGTGTTTTGATTTAATCTGTTTCAACCAATACATTCCTGGACTGGCTCTTATGCCAGTCAGTAAGTTGTCATTGATACTGGGAATGGACTTAACTTTTGTAGAAGGAAGACTGGGTATTTGAGCCCCAAACTTCCTCTTTTGCCTTATGTAAGGATGGGGTAACTTTGTAACATGTGTTTTGTTTTTTAACCACTTAGACAAGAGAAGCAAAATCCAGAAAATGTCAACTTGCTTATCTTTCTAGGACATTTTACTGTGGTTTGACTCACCCTATTGTCCCGAGGCTAGAATCTTTACAGGTAGCATGTTCTGTTCTAACAGGAACTTTGATAGCTCAATGGAGACTAACACACTAACAATAGGCATCAGTTGGGTTGTGGCTAGATATTTGTATGTGTGTGCGTGTGTGCGTGCGTGTGTGCGTGTGTGCGTGTGTGTGTGTGTTTGTGTGTGGGAAATGTAGGACAAGAAAGGATGATTTTAAAAGATCCCAGTAAGAGAATGGGGGTGGGGGAGAGTCACCATTTAATTGTGTGACCCAGAATCAGTCTTAGCAGGTATCTTTGAAGAGAGAATGATCATTTGTTCTAGAGTTCCAGAAACAGCTTATAGCTCAAATAATCAGTGTTTCCCTCCTCTTCCCAATTATTTTAGAATTTAAGAAACTGCATGTGCTGCAAATTGCTTTAGAAGCACAGGAGACATTGAATACTGTCCTTGTTTAGAAGTTGGGAGTTGAAGTATATGATAGAAATGCTGTCAGAATTTGACAACCCATTTACAAGTAAAGCCATAAATTGCTTTAAATCAAGATTTCTCAGTCTAAGCTGTATTGACATTTTGTACTGTGTAATCCCTCGCTGTGAGGGGCTGTCTTGCGCATTGTAGGATGCTGAAGCCTTCATGGCCTGTACCCACTAGATGACAGTAACACCCTGTCCACGGTGTTGACAACCCAAAATGTCTTCCAGGCGTTGCCAGATATCCACTGAGGGGCTAATCGCCCCCGGCTGAGAACCACTGCTTTAGATAGAAAGAAAATCAGGCCTTGAAAAACCTGTGCTTACTCGGGGAAGGACCTCTTTCTCGAAGAACTCACTTCGGATTCCCAGTTCCATTCTGTCCTTCATTTCTTGCCTTTTATACTCTCTAACAGCAGCTGCTTTTAATTAATACGTTTGTAATTCTGTGTTTAACATACTGAGCCTATCATTAGTGGAGGTCTAGTTAATGTCTTTGTTTATTTTTCTTTCATATAGAAATTATTTTCACTAGACACTTATTTTTTTTAATTGTGAAGCTCCTAATTTCCGAATGGAACCAGTGACAGCCCTGGGTGTCCTCTCACTTATTCTCAACATCATGTGTGCTGCTCTGAATCTCATCCGTGGGATTCACCTCGCAGAACATTCTTTACAGGTAACCTTTTTTATTATAGTTTAAACGGAAGGACCTATGATGGAAGAAACTGGTGGGGATACACTTTACTTACAAGGTTATTATGCACAAAGATTTCAAAAATTTTTAATTAAAATACGATTTTTATAGTCAAGTTTATTCTTTATAGTGGGTTGAAGAAATACGAGACTTGCTCTTTTGTATCTGTTGTCCTCAGAAGCCAGAGTGGCCTGCCGGGGGAGCTGGTGAGAAATAGCGTGCTACGGGGGCATCCTTGGGGCCCCAGGAGTCACTGCAGGGGCCCGATTGCTCAAGAGCAAATTTGATTCTCAGACTTTGAGGTTCAGGCTGTGTCCCCCTGGAAAAAGTTGCCACCTACTCTGATTTTTATCATGCAGATGCCACCTTCCCTGTGTCTTTGTCAGAGAACTGTAGCACCAGGAAGCTGATTTGCCAGTCTGCTCCAATCAAAGCAACTTTCTATTTCAGTGCTTTTAAAATAATTTTTTTTCTAAATTTTCAAGTATTTAAAACACTTTTAAAAAGTACAGAATCAGGGATGCCTGGGTGGCTCAGTCGGTTAAAAAGTACAGAATCATTGTGGGCATAAACAGATAGATACTACTTTTAAAAAATAGAGCCCTAATGCTCACAGCCATGACTGTGGTAGCCAAAGTCCGAAGCACAGCTGAGGCTGAGTCTCAGGAGACTAATGTAGGCTGACCTGTGTGGAGAGTGGCAGCAGTGACCACCTGTCACCACATCCTGTCTTTAGCCAATGTGTGCTGTGGTTCCCACTCCTATTTTTTATGATTATTCATGCCCAGATACTTACCAAGCGTCTGTACACACTAGAACAGGTGCCTGGCCAACAAGATGGTAAAGCAGAGTGTGGTGACATCACTAAGGAGGTAGCGGTCCCTGGAGGTGGGCAGAATTAGGGAAAGCTGAGTGCTGACAGATGAGTAGGATTTTGAGAGGTAGTGGCGTTGGGGGGCAGTCCAGGTTGGGAGCTTAGCACAGACGCACAGGGACATGAGGGTGCGTGGTGTGTCCAGGCTGTTGAAAACAGTTGCATGCCAGCCCTTGTTCTGGTAAATAAACAGGGACTTATGTCTCCTCCAGCCAGCGATTTTGTAGTGTCAGCCATACCAGAGCGAGTGAGGTGCAAAGGGCTTCATGTCCTAGTGTTTCCATTCATCTGAATGTTCCTTTTCTTGTGTTTCTTATCTTTGTTTTAGGTTGTCCATGAGGAAATTGGAAATATTCTGGCTTTTCTTATTCCTTTTGTAGCCTGTATTTTCCAGGTGGGTGAAACATTAACATTTCGGTGAGTGGGTTGAACCCCGTGGTCCTATTTTGTTCTTCTGTTGGAACCATCAGCAAGTTTCTAGATGTGATTTTGTTCCACCAAGGCATGTTATGGACAATACCAGGTCCTTCGTGGAAGGACCCTAGGCCCATCCTGCCCAGCTGTCTCATTTTACAGAGGAAGAACATTGCGCTCAGAAAAGGAAAGCCACTTGCCCTAGGCCACAGAGCCTTTGACAATGGCTGAACAGAAGCCGGGAATTTGGATTCGACTCCCAAGAAGGGAGGGATGAGCTTGCTGTGGGGATTGGGTTGCGCCTGACTAATGTGAAGCAGTGTCTTACTTATTGTCAGGGCAGTCCAGGTATAGAAACGTCTTTCTGGAGAAGTAACAACTACTTATATGTGCTTTTTTTTTTTTCCTTAAACCGGGACTAGGTTAAAAAAATTTTTTTAAAGAATTTTATTTATTTATTTGAGAGAGGGAGAGAGAGAGAGAGAGAGAGAACATGAGCAGGGGGGAGGGGCAGAAGGAGAAGCAGACTCCCCGCTGAGCAGGGAGCCCCACACGGGGCTCGATCCCAGGATCCTGAGATGATGACCTGAGCCGAAGGCAGACGCCCAACCAACTGAGCCACCCAGGTGCCCCCCCCCCAAATTTTTTTTTTTTTCCCCAAAAATTGTTTTTAATAGTAATGCCATCTGACTCAAATCTGTCCTTAGGAGATGAGATAACATTACAACATTAATAGCGGGCTTTGATTATTTAGTTATTTTCAAGTAAACTTCATACTTAAGGGGTGGAGTAAAATGGAGCTTTTGAATCTCCTATAGGCAGAGTTAATTCTACTAGAAAAACCTGACTGTAATTTTCTTTCCTCATCCTCCACAAAGTCTAGGACTTTAGAACTTTCTCTACATTCTTAAGCTTTTTTATTTTTTTTCCCCCTTTCAGCTAAAATTTCTGTTCTCAGGACACTTCCTCTCTCTTCCACATCTCTCCTAGAATGGTCTGTTTTTTAAGAATGACATAATTGTGTCAAAAGAAATTTTCAACCCAGGACTGAAAATGCACTCATTTTTGAGAAATCAAGTCTCCGGAACCTTGGGTGTTGCCATTTGAGGTGCCCAAAGCCTGCATTTCAGGGCTGTGGGGTTCTTACCCCTCGGCCTTTGTTCCCTCAACTGCATTCATGTACTTGGATAGCTCTTTCAATGGGGACCTCTCTCCCACCCACTGGAGCTTGAGCCTTTGTTGAATTGCTCTGGGTTTTGGGAACGTGCTTCTTGGTTTTTTTCAACGTTGAACCAAAAAGCTGCTTTTTACCTTTTGCAGAACAGGAATGGCCTCTTTTCTGTGTGATAGCCCTATACAAAATACCGGTCGCTCTCCCGGCTGTGAGACTTTCCCTGTGTCAGAGATGTTTTTGAAGACATGATAAGGGGCATGGCTGGGGAACAGTGGTCCCTGATGTAGTCGTAACTCAGGAAAAACGAATGATAAAAGCATGGCTCTTTTCTCTGGCTTTCGTGCCTGTCACATGACTCCCCTGAAGGAAGAATCCAGTTGGAGGCCAGTCAGCCTTGTTGGGGTGTCTTGGCCTGGCTCCCTTCCCTTTACCTGCATCTCTTCTTTCTCCACAGCCCCCAGCTGGGGCATTTCTGTCTGTATTTCTTAAACGTGTTAAAGAGTGTCGTGTCCTCATTCATCCTGTGACATCTATTTCACTTCTCTTCTCTCTTCTGAATCTCCACTTTCACCCGGTGATTACCAGCAGCTTACCAGCTTACCCAGTGCGTCCAGGCTCCATTGTAATGAATTCGGTTTAATAAGCTAATGTGCGTGCAGGTGCGAGATGTGAATCTTACGTCCAACCCATGGCCATTTCCTCATCTCTGACTGGACTGCCTCTTACGGTGTCATTTCAGTGTTATTTGTACCTGTTCTACAGTCCAGCCAGGACTATGAAGGTGGTGTTCCTGCTGCTCTTTATCTGCCTGGGCAACATGTACCTGCACGGGCTGCGGAACGTCTGGCAAATCCTCTTCCACATAGCGGTGGCTTTTCTGTCCTCGTATCAGATCCTGACCAGGCAGCTTCAGGAGAAGCAGTCTGACTGCGGAGTTTGAAGGCGACACTGTATGACGAACGGATCCTTTGGCTTTCTCAGGAGGGTCATCTCTGTTTCCCTTCTGGCTTCTCGACTTCACCTCAAGTTTCCACCCTTGAAGTTCCCTTCGACCAAACCAGGCCGAGCCCGAGAAAGTGGGGGATTTTTAACAGGTGCAGTGGAAGGCAGGAGGTGGCTTGAGACCCAGGCCCGGTTTTGTGCTGAGCGTTACAGCCAAATCTCCAGGTCTGCACCTCTCCTTAGGTGAGGATCTGGGGGCTCACTCCCAGGGAGCATTATTGGAAGATCAGAACGGAATTGTTTTGGTCTTTAAATTGAATGATGCAATAAACCACGAGATTCAATAACACTAGTTTTAGTAGCTGGCAGTTGTCTCTGAGGAACCTTACTTTAAAACCCGTATCAGCTTTTCAGTCTAAATGTGACTTGGTTAGTTTTTTGTAGAGGGTCAATACAGGGTGAATTAAAGATTTTAAAATATGGCTCAGAAATATAAGCTAGATAAATTTTGTTTACATTTTTTGATAACTTAGGTCCAATATGATACCTTTAGAATATTTAAATGTATTTTGGATATAAATTGTGAACTTATCTTCATTAAGGGAAAGGACAAACTTAAGCTGAGAAAATGGTTAAGAAATCTGAATTTATTTAATTTATATATAACGTTTTATGGTGGTGGGGCTGCGTGGGTACAGAAATGTTTTGTATTTATTTGCAGGGTATATCTGAGTATTTTAAAAATTTGAGTGACCAGTGCTACTGGATCCTAGCTTATGAGCATGAGCATGAGCTTATAAACCTGAGAATTTCAGGATTCTTTGCAGTGGGCCACAGACCGGAGTAGGTGAATCACATAGTGGCACTTTACAGATGCAGGTGGTATTGAAAAAAAAAAAAACTATTGTCATCAGCCATGTACATGGCAGCCGAGTGCCTGTCATTTTAATGATGATCAATGCCTGACCCTGTGTGCCTGTTCCCAGAAGCACTCCCAAATTAATTACTCCTTGACACCTTTCCCAGTCATCATAATTAGATTGAGGGCCTCATTTTTTTTTTTTTTGAAGGCCTCATTCTTTATGAACAGGAGTTAAGTAGGTATTAACTTTTTTAAAGCTTCATAAAGATATAATTAACCCTGTGCTCTGCAAAGTTACTTTTCTTGTCTCATTGTCAAAATAGTTGATTGGTCACAGCTTTCCGAAATGGGGCTCTAAATAAGATCGCTTAGATCTCCAGAAATTTCAGCCTGGGTTGTCCAGTACCACTCAGGAGGCCATTTTGGGAGCTTGCCCTTTGGATTCTTCTTGGTAGAAGTCTGGAATCTGAATAGCCCAACTGCAATTGCATGGGATTTGGGGTTGAATTATGTGGTCTTGATAAATGAAAAAATCCCACTTTGATAGTTTTTAAAAGTTGAAAACCATTGCAAGAGTTATTAAGTATGTGGGGAAAGCAAGAACATTATTTTAGGGAATTCCGTTGTACTTGGTTGTGTACTGTTAGTGCATTGCTATTGAGCTACCTTGATGTCACTTTAAGAAAATCAAGTTCATGTGACTGACAACTGTTGGGAAAATGTTGCTGCAGTCATTTTATTTTCTTATAATATAGTTTTCTATTTTTAATCAAACAATATCTGGTTGTGAAAGGTATATTGGCACCATCCTCAGATATCAAGTTCACAGTTGTCTCTCCTTGGATTCTGTATCTTCATAGTCTTCTGCGTACCCAGCAGGTGAATCTAAAGGCTTTCTGGGACATAATTTTGAAGAGATGATAAAATAGAATGGGAAGCCAAGGAGGGGAGACAAATCCTTGTACATTAGAAGCACCAAAAAAAAAAAAAAAATGCTTTAAAAGTTGATAAGAACAGCTTACAAGTGAATTGTGGGGTTTTTTTCCTTTTTCTTTTTTCAAGCCCTTGTGTTATTGGTGTTGCCACGTAGCCCTGTACCCCAGATGCTCTTGCTCTTGGGGTCTGAGCCTGTGATCCACATCCAGCAGACCCTGAAGAGGAGTCCCTCCTGGTGAATGCTTCCTACACCAGCAGGGAGGTTATCTACACTTGGTTGAATGTGGTTGTCATCAGTTAGCATCTACATGGGGTTTGAGGTTGATTTTTGCAAACAAAAGGGAAAAGATGCACAAACAGTACAAAACAATGACCACATAAACATTGTTTAACTAGAATCCAGCTGAAAGAAGCCTCAGCTCACTGGAGGAAGAGACAAGCAAGAGGAAAGAAGTTCTGGGAATATTGTCCAATGGAAATCCCAGGCTGAGGGTTGACCTGGTTCAGGCTGGAATTTTGTGCCCTCCCCACCCCTCACCCCCCGCCGTGTCATCCTTGATGCCAGAAAGCTGGCCCCCCATCGCAGGAGTTATCCTCACTACCCCACAGACTCATTGCTGTTCTAGCACTTTGTTTTCCCAGGGGTTAAATGCTACCTGCCCAACTGACCTCGCAGGGCTAGATCTGGGAATAGATGAAATCATATTGGAAACAAACCTTCAAAGTGCCTTCTGGGATCAGATGCTGCAAGATCTTAATATCAGAGTATGTTATTCCCATCTACTGTTTCGGGCTGGGAATGTGGCTCAGGGCTTTTCACCAGGGTTTCCCAACCAAGGGGCCAAGGCCCAAAGGGTTTTCCCTTCCCCAAGTATGCTGGTCAAAGAAATGCGCAGACTCTGGTTTTCATTTCCCTAGGCTAGCCTTACCACGATGAGGATCGTTCCTGAGTTTCTTTTTCCTGGGTGGAGACAATCGGGGGCATATCTGGGGTGGCACTTCCTCTCAGTATGGGAGGCCCCACCACCGGCAGCAGAAGGAATGTGACCAGAGGCATCTGGTTTTGCTTCTCAGGCTTGCACTCTTACTACCTGTGAACTCTGTTGCAGGCATCGTGAGGCAAGGCCCACCATTTTAAAGTTCCTTAAGGGGTGGGCCAAAGGGTGTCAAGAAGAGTGCTGAAATTCAGACATTCCGTCTCATTTCCATCACCTCACCTGGAGCGCCCTGTTCCTTTTCTAGGTGCCCCCATTCTCCAGGACTTCTCTGCCTCTTTCCATGTCTGTCCCACGCATTCCAGCCCTGGACACAGGCTGGACCTGGAATCTCTTGGAGGGATGAGAAAGCCATCTTTGATTGTAGTTGCTGGGGTGGGTACAGGAGCTTCAGAGTGGGGGCAGACTGCAGTGAGGCCCAGCTCTCTTCCTCTTTGCTCCTGGGAGCTTCAGCACACACTTAGGAGTCCACCCTCAGAGGGGAGTAGCACTTCGGTGCTCAGAGTCAAAGGTGACACCCAGCGGGGCCAGCTGTTGGGGACGTGGAAAGCAGGAGACAGATGGGGAGCAGAGCCGGGGGCACATTGGGGCCGCATGCGGCACCATCCAGGGCTGCTATTTGCTGTTCCTTGAAGGAGTCAGCCACTCATTGTAACACGCGGGATGGGTGGCCTTAGGAGTCTGCTGCCGTGCGTGCCCAGAGCAGCACAGGTGAGGACCAGTAGGCATGGGAGTGTTTGTGGGGACAGATGTGCGCCCCTGCTCTGGTGTGGCTCGCATTCCAGATGTTCCTGCACAGAATCCTGCCCAGGTACGGGGAAGCTCCACTGTGCACTGTGTTAATAATGGTGGAGGAAGAGAGAGGAGATGTGCCCGTGAGAGACGGGGGAGGCCTGGGGATCAGCTTGACTCTTCCACTCAGCCCTGCACCACCGGGGGCAAGTCATGCCCACGGGCCTCAGTGTCCTTAACTGGGCAGTTCCCCTGGCGTGCTCTCATGAGGCTAAAAGCCTAGTGGAGGAAAGTACTGGGTGAATCCCTTGGTCGCCAGCAGGAGGAGAAAGACTTTCACCCGATACAAGGAGGTCCATGCTTCAGGCAGCACGGTGTGGCTGTGTCTTCCAGGTTTTACAAAACCGGCATTTTATCAAGACTGCAATGTAAACGGACTCATTCTTTCACTCTAGAAAGGAAGTGGCCTCTCTTTCTCCTCCTTGAACCTGCCTCCTGCCCTCTACTCCCAGAGCTCTTGGTACCATTGGCATTGGGCCCTCCAGGGTCCAGGGAGGCCGGTTCTGCGGGTTGAAGCAAACCTCAGGGTCCGTCCCCGACCCAAATGAGGAGAGCTCTGATTCTCCCATCTGGGAGCAGTGACGTCAGACTTCTGTTTCTGGGGAAACGTCTTGGCAGGGAACCTGTGGAAAAGGGCTTGTCGGTGAGATCTGGGAATGGCCGGATATGGAAACATCTGCCCATGTGTACTGATGGCAGAGCCACCGCCCACAAGCGCCTTTTATTTAGGGTAAAATGATCAAATCCATCGTTCTAACCTGTGCTTCTTTAGCCCTCATGTGATCCCAGGGTTACTTCAGAAGTATTATTTCACGAATTATTCATATGACTTGACCCCCCCAGAATTCTGTTTTATTTAATAGACTTTTCTACTAAGAGCATAAAAGGTTGCAGCTGATTGAGCCAGGGCAAAACGATTGACTTCACATATTTGTTTTGAATGCTTGCTGTCCATGTCGTACAAGCTTCTTACTGTTTTCATGTAAAAACAAAGATCTATTTTGAATAAATGATGGGTATGTTTTAACAGACTCTCACACAGTAGTAAAGCCTAAACTCGTGTTAACGTATGTAAAGAATATTGTATAGCCATTTATATACCATGTATATATAAATCAAATAAGGTTGCTTCAGAAGTGAGAGGAGAATAAATCTAAGGTGCTTATTAACTTGCGTGTAGTCGTGTAAAAAATTCTGAGCGACAGGTCTGTTTTCCCAGAGGGTGTGATGTGGGCCTGGCGTAATGGAGGGGGGATGTTGAGGGAGGTGGACTTCAGGTCCTCCTGTCCAGTGTCTGGACAGGTGCATGGCCTCAGTCCCTAGCACTAATGCCTAGACTCTGGAATGCAATCATCGGTCCAGGAGAGACCTTGGCAAAGCCAACATAGCAGCCCTCGGGGTCGGGGGGTTGGGCAGGGAGGCCTGCCTTCTCCGTAGGCTCTGCTCCTGCTTCTCTGTGCCTGTGAGCAGGCCCTTACGCTGCGCTAGATTCTGAGCACCTGCTTAGTTTTCATCTCCCAGGACAGCCCCGCCACCAAGTGGCCAGCAGGAGGCGCAGCGGCCTGCCGGTCGTCAGGCTCCGGGCCCAGGGGACTGCCCCCTTTTGCAGAGGTCCTTCCTGAGGCGCCTGACAGAATTCCCGGAAAGGAAGCAAGTGCACCAGCTCTCCTGCCCATATCCCAAACACACTGGGGGAATGCGTGCTCCCAGCTTCTCTCCACAATCTGTCCTGAGTGACAAACTCTGGGGGTGGGGGTGGGGGGTTGGGGAGGGCAAAAGCTTCCAAAATAAACAGGAAGTTATTTGGCTTCTGGGATTTGTGAGTTGGCAGAGCCTTGGGACACCACCCGGTTCAACCCCCTTGTTGCTCAGGTGGGGAAGTTGAGGCCTGTCCGAGGGAGCCAGTGACAGTGCAGCCGAGAGCTGCGTCCCCTGGGCTGGGAATAAGGTGCTCTACGTACGGCAACACCGCAGAGAGGAAAAGGGGATGTTGGCCCATGAAAGATGCCCTTGCTGCGCCAGAAGGGCCGCGTGCCAGTGCAGGCTGATGAATTGCCTTCCTTTCTCTTGAGCTCCACCCGCTAATGGGGCCCGGGAGCAGAAGTGCCGCGTGACAACTGCCAAACAGCCTCGAGCGGTGCCAGTGAGGAGTGAGGCTCAGAGAGGAAGGGGTCCCCCTGGGTGCCCCTGGCAGGGAGGCGCTGCCTGGTTCTGCAGGCTGCTCTCCGATGTTGCTGGGTCGGATGTGCAAGGCAAACGCTAGGAAGTTCACGGAAGAACAGGAAGGAAAGTACCTTTGTGACCTAGGATGGAAAGGTGCTCTTAAAGAAAAATGTTACAGGTACAACCCTGGAGGCAAAATGATTAATTTCATTGCATGCAAATAAGGATGTCACGGGCAAAGTTAAACGAATGGGAGGAGATCTTTAGAATGTCTGAAACCAATAGGGATCACTATACAAGCAATTCCTGTAGGTCAGCAAGAAAGACAGCAAGCTCAGGAGAAAAACAAACAATTTAAAGAAGAGAAAAACCCCAAAAGCTAAGAAGCATAGGAAGATGTTTAAAATCATTAGAACTACGGAGAACCACATATTTAAACAACAGTAAAGTATCACCTCATGCCTATTAGTTTGGCAAAACTTAGAAAGCTGGATGGCATCAAGTGTTGGAGGGTGTGGGGGCATAGAGGACTTCCTGCACAGGCCATCTGAAGGGCAGTGCCCCTGTCATGGGCTGAACTGTGCAGTCCCCGCATGCATATGCTGAAGTCCTGACCCCCACCCCAGGACCTCAGAACGTCTGTATTTGGAGGTAGGGAGAAGGCAGCCGTCTGCAAGCCAAGGAAAGAAGCACCAGGAGAAACCAATCCTGCTGATACCTTGATCTCAGATTTCCAGCCTCCAAACCATGAGAAAATAAATTTCTGTTGTTTAGGGGCGCCTGGGTGGTGCAGTCGGTTAAGCATCAGACTCTTGGTTTTGACTCAGGTCATGATCTCAAGTTCGTGAGATCGAACCCTGGGTGGGACTGCATGCTCAGCATGGAGTCTGCTTGAGATTTTCTTTCTCCCTCTGCCCCGCCGGCTTGTGCTCTCTCTTTCTGTCTCTCTCTCTCTCAAAATAAATAAATCTTTAAAAAAAATTTCTGTTGTTAAACCACCCAGTTTGTGGTACTTGGTTATGGCGGCTCTAGCAAATGAATCTGGCTACCTACCCAAATTTCATGTGCACACCGGATCCTTCGCTCCTGGTTCTATGTCCCTGGGAAATTCTTTGACAGATCCTTGAGGGAATAGGTATGAAGTTAAATTTTACAGAAGAATTATTTGTGTTGGTAGAAAGCAGTCTGTGTCTACCATGGACAGATAAAGCGTGCGGGCTCACCATGGAGCACCACACTGCAGGCAGAAGCACCAGATTTAGATGTAATGCAGCAGCATGGATGGATCTCTAGAATGTAGAACCGAGTTGAAAAATAACATGTATATGATTAGAAATATATGCACACAAAATGATAAAATACTTTGTAAGAACATATTTTAAAAGATACGTGTTAAATACATTAGAGTGGTTGCCTACAGGGGGCCAGGAGCATGTGAGTTAGGGATAATAAGGAATTTAAGGAAAAGAGAGAATGCTTGCTAGAGTCAGGGGTCAGGTCTGAGAGCCCTGGGTGAACCCCGGGAGCCTGCATTGCACCTGGCGATCTTGCCCTCGGTGCGCCCAGCCCTCACTGGACTGAGGCCCAGAAGGCCCGCCTCTGCGGGGGCTCTAGCCTCAAATGCTGCCAGAGTGTTTGAGCCTCCAGGCTTTTCCAGTGGGCGAGGTGGGGGAACTGAAGCCGAGGCCAGGGGCTGTAATGGTCAGGGAGGGCTTCTGGAACCCGTGGGGGAGGGGAAGGGCAGAAAGCAGAGAGGAGGGGACTCAAGAGGGGAAAGTAGATGGGTGAGCCAGCTCTGGCCACCGGGGACTCCCTCCACGCAGATTCTCGCTGTCTGACTAGTAGTTTCCTGGCGGAGACTCTTTCCCACATGAGGCACTCAGCTGAAGGACTCTCACAGGGGATTCTCAGGGAAAAAGGAACACAGCTGCAGGAGGGACGGAGGTGCCCCCAAGGCAAGGCCTTCCTCCCACCCCAGAAACGGTCTGTTCCCTGGCATAAGCCTGGGGAAGTGAACCCGGAGGGGACTGAGTCTGGGCGGGTGAAGCTAACCAGGACCACCACTGCCCTGCGGGGTTATTCTAGGCACATTTTCTGAGGCCCCAGGGGTGAGAGCAGGGGCCAGAAGGAAGGAACACTGGGCTAACCGTAGGATGAACTTTCTCACAGGGCTGGTGAGCAGGGCTCAGGGAGGTAGCGAGCACTCCACTGCGAAGGTGTGCAAACCGAGATGCGATGAGTCGGCTGGGACCTTGGAACACGCTGTCCCCATCTCGGAGACCTTGTCTCGTCCTGGGTGCTGGTGTCTGCAGGGACATCTGCCTGTCTCCCATCGTGCCTCCTGTTGCGTCCATCCCATGAGGCGAGCTGGACGCCGGTCGCAGGAAACGGCCTGTGCCAGCTTCCATTTGAAAGAGTAAATATTAGTCTTTTCAAGAGCTGCCTGTTCTGTGTCACTGGGCACCACTGAGGACACTGAACTGGGATTTGCAAGGGGGTGGGGGCGCGTGCTCTTGGTCCCCACGCCCAGACGGAGTCTGTGGGCCTAACTGGTCACTGTTGCAATGGAGGGCAACAAGAAACAAGCCTCCCCGTGTCCAGGCGGGCATCCCCTCCTGGTCACTGAGGAAGCAGTGAGCCCCCAAGCCCCCAAGATGTGCTCTCCTCACATACCGCTCAGGCTGCTGCTGCAGAGGCAGGGGGCTGCATGTTTTGACCTGGACCTTAAGGCCTTGGGCCCTGGCTCTGGTGTATATGGTTTAAAATCCTCCGATTTTGTGGCATTATCGGGAAGGGGGAATGACTTGCTTCTACTTCACTGTCACCCCTTGGGGAGACCTCCTCTGACCACCCCAACTAACAGAGCACCCCCCTCACTCTAGCCCCTCATCTTGCCTTCTTCCTTCCGTAATTTTCCTCATGTATTTTTTGTGAGCATCAATAGTTTATTTTTTATTTTTTGATCACTGGAGTATCATTGACCTACCACGTTAGTTGCAGGGGTACAACAACATAGTAATTCCACAATTCTGTACGTTACTCGGTGCTCACCGCACTGTCCCCATCTGTCACCGTACGTTATTACGATATTATTGTCCACAATCCTTGTGCTGTACTGTTCATCCTCGAGTAATTTTCCTCATTTATGATCTGGCTCCTCCGTTAGGGGGTTCAGCTCTGTGAGGGCAGGGCCTCGGTCACGCTGTGCACACCATCAGCGCTCGGTAGCTATTTGCTGGATGAATATTATGACATCCATACCTTGAAGATATTAAACCGATATAATTCTCATCTCCTCACCTTCTGGAGCCACTCCATCATTATGACCCAGGGGACGGGCAGGGGTGGGGGATGAATGCCATCTCAGGGAGCGGGAAGGGAGGAAGGGGGTGGGGGGGGAAGGAAAACCCACCTTCAGCTGGCGAGGAAGGAAACTCTCAGACATGTCCCGTTCTCATCCTCTGGGATGAAATCTTGGGGTCGGGGGGGGGGGGCTACACTATGAAAGTAGAGGGGGCATGTGTCCCACTCTGCACTTGGAGTCAGCCTCCCACGCAGCCCGGTGCCCCTTAGGTAGCCCTACTGGGTAAAAACGGTAGAGCTGTGGATTTGATCGCAAGAAGATCGGAGTGAGCATCACCCAGCCTCCCACAGCTCCCAGAGGCCTGGAAGGGATCCAGAAGCTCCTGTGTGCTCTCTGGGGCATGAGGAAGATGGCTGAGTTAGAGCCGGTGGGCCTGGCGTGATGGCGCCCTCACGGCCAGTGGTGAGGTGAGGGGGGCTCGCACCCCGGGCTGGATAGCGGCTTGGCTGAGGGGCCCCAGTGAGCCCAGGTGGGGCTGGATCTGCCAGGGCAGGCGCCGGGGCCCCAGCCAAGAGGGCACGCTGTGAGCGCTCGGCCACGATGAGGATCCTAGTACATAGGGTAGCCACCAGGACCTTTGTGCAAGGCTCCTTGTCTCTGCCAGCAGGAGGCCACCCGTACTGGACTTGCTGCCTCGTACCCTATTGACCTACTTTTTCCAGCTCCTGTAGGAATAACCTGTTCCCTACCTCAGCTATCAACACTTTCTGCCCAGAGTTCCTCGGAAGCCATGGTGGGGACCCACCGGAGAACTCACGCATGGATGTATCAGGGTGCTGACGTGGGTGGACCTTGAGCCCTCGATGGATGGTGGGAGCCCGCAGGTAATGCTGTCCTGACCCTCAAGAGGGCGCGTCTGAGGGGCACCCCACCTGCTCCTCATAGACGATCAGAGCAGTGACCAGCACAATAACCCACCTTCCCTTTGGCTTTCCCCATCTCCCTGTTTCCCACTTCTCTGTCCCTCATTCCTATTTCCTGGCCACAGACTTCTGTCCCAGGCTCTCCTTCTGGGCACTCAGGCTACAAGGCCACCTGGGCCTCTGTGCTAGCAAGCATCCATTGGCACCTGGCATCCCTCTCTGCCCCTTCCTTAGTCCCATGTGTTGCAGGGGCTGGAAGGCTGAAGCCTCCCTTTCCCAGCCCCCCTTGCTGCTGGGGATCTGGACGCAGCCTAGGCTCTGCCAGAGGGACGCACCACAGGAGGGGATTGGGAGGCAGAAGGGAGGCCAAGGCCATTCTCCTTGCAGCGTGGTGGCTGCTGGGTAGGATCTGACAGACATGAGTTTTTGCAGCAGCCAGACACGGTGTTCCTTCCGCTTTCTTGTCATCAGCTTCATGGATGTGCGACTAGGAGGTTGGCAATGGTTTCCTGCAAGGTGGCAGCTAGGGTGACGTGACCTACCACAGGGCAGAAGTGTGCCCTGCCACTCCAACAAACCTTTCTACATGTAATTCGCTACATTAAATATCTTTCTGCACAAGATACCCAGAGTGTTTTCTGTCTTCCCTGCACTTAACCTTGACTGATTGGGCTTCCTCACCTCTACCGTATGCTGTGCCACCAGGCTCAGGTGGAGGGAAGCTGAAAGGCCACATATTTACCCAAAGAGACATCCAGAAAGAGACTGAGAGTCAGCAGCCTTCCCCGCCCCTCCTTCCTTATTAGATCAACTTTCCTTCTGAAGTTGTAGCCAGGGCTTAGGTATGTGAGCTGGTCCTGGCCCAGGACCCTGAGGAAAGTGTGCAGAAGATGGGTTCTGGGATAGCTTCTCTTTCTGATAAAAGGAGTCACACAGGAGACATTCTCTCTGCCACTGGATGGGGTTCTGTGAGAACATGATGCTTGAGGTACTGACAGCCATCTTGTAATCATGAGGGCATACGTCTATGGATGAAAGTCAAAATACAGAGGAAGCCAGAGGAGACAGACAGAAACTACTAGGTTGAGCTACTGCATTAACCCCAGAGCTGCCTACTTTTAGTAGGCGTTGCCCAGGCAGGACCCTTGCCCTCTGAGCCACGTAGAGACTGGTTCAGAATGGTTCAGTTTTTTCCACGCTGCCATGCTGGGACCCAGGGATGCTGCGACCTCTGGGAGCTGGGCTGGGACCAGGCTGAGGCAAGTGAGGCATTTGCCTTAGATGCAAACTTTAAGGAGGTGGCAAAAAAAAAAAAAAAATTCAGTAAGCGGGATAAATAAAATTTTAATGCAATATTAAAAGAAAAAAAGCATGCAAAAAAGACACAATGAACAAGATGCCGAGATTTTTATAAAGAGACTGAAGAATTGGTGTCTCCTGCTAGGTCTGCTCTTGTGTTTCCACACAGGGCCCTCTGGATGAACATTCTCACCTATGACAATCCATATGACGAAGCAGGGCTCTAGGATTTTGAGACTTGGGTTCAAGGACGGGCTCTGCCAATGACTTACTGGCAATTCCAAGCAAGTCCCTTCCCTTCTCTGGACTCTGGTTACCCCAGCTGTCCTGCGTGGAGGCTAGGGCATCGCCAGGATGGCCTCCTGACCTGTCCTCATCTCCATGGCCTGCTGAGGTTACTGTCCCTTTCTCTGGGAGGCTGTGTCTCCCGGGCCATTGACTCCTGGCTATTAATATCTCCACCATCCCTGGCCTGATCAGGGTGTTTAATGACTGTCAGCTGTGGCTCCGGCCCCCTCCCTTGGGAGAGATAAGAGCACTTCCTATTCCCACGTGGGGGAAGCTGGGGGGAGGCCGGGTCATGGCTCAGGACACAGGCCCTGGGCGAGTGGTGGGAATGCAGGGCCTGACGCTGATCCCGCACCCACTGGGCCCAGTGCTGCTAGGTGGGGGTGCCTGCAGATACAGACTCCCTGGCCCTCTCCCCTGCGGGAGCTGTCCTGGTCTGCCCACCCCTGCCTGTGCCTTGTCACTTTAGATCCTGAGCTCAGTAGCCTTAGGGCTCTCCCCAGACATCCCACAGACATCACATAAAGCATGTGCCAAACCGGGTCATCATCTCCCCAAGCACCCTCCTCCTCCTCCCTCACCTTGATGGTGGATGGGCACCTTTTTCCTCGACTTGCCCTTGGGGCCCTTCTCGGGCAACCAGAGCAGTCTGCCCCAAGTCCACACTCATCCCCTTGGCCTCATTTAAGAAGCCTTCACTGGGTTCCTGCTGCTAAGGGCCAACCGCAGGCACCTGCTCACTTGGATTTGGGTGTCCCTGGCGTCCATCATGCCCCCTTGGGACCTAGAGATCCCTACTTAGTCCTCAGAGACACCCCGACGTCTCTTCACCTGGGAAGCTGCTCCCTATCCATTCAGCTGGCGCACTGTCCCACCCTCCTTGTTCAGCCTGTGTCCTAGAGTGGCAGGCACTGTCCACATGGTGGCCTCTGCCATCGAATTGATGCTGGTCTTCTGCACCGGGATGGTGGGGGACTCCTTGCTCCTCTTTCCAGGAGGCACCCACCTGAGTTAACCAGGCTTTGCCCTCAGGGAACTGGGGTCAGGGCTCAGTCCAGGGTCAGGGCCTAATCTGCACCCGAGAGGCCCAGCTCTGCAGTTGGGACCGGGACGGGGATCACTGTGTGCCACAAAATTCAGGGGCCTGGGTCTGAGGGCAAGGCCCTGGGTCTCCCTAATCCTAGGCTGCCCCTGGGCTCACCAGTCCTGGGGCCTCACTCCCTCTTCCCTCTTGTAGTTCACTCTGAAATGGAGCTGAGGAGAGAGGCTTGCCCTCTGTGTCACCTGGCCTTCTGGGGAGGGGCCTGAACCCTGGTGTTTGGGGCCCAAAGGCCAACCTTGGTGAAGTCCTTAAGGTACCCACCAGGTGGCAACAGAGATGAGCTGGACTGGCCTGAGGAGTGACCTAGGAGGCAGGAGAGAGACTGGGCAGCTGGAGGGAAGAGAGAGCACAGGAGAAATTCTGTTCCAGGGTCACCCCCACTCCATAGGCAGCTTGGGATGTCTGCCCATGGTCTCTGCTGGCTTGAGACACTGTTTCAGCTTCTCTCCGTTCCTGAATGCCCAACACTGGGCTTTTCACCTACTGCCACCTCTCAGGGCAGGACCCCACCGAGAGTCCTCCCTTTTGCTGCCCATGTCTTGGGTCTCTCCACGTTTGCTTCACTTGCCACCCTCCTGGCTGATACATCTGGCCTCCCCAGGGCTCTCTCCTTACCCTTACCCTGAAGCCATGACTCACTCACTAATGGTCGATTTCAGGCACTGTGGTGGATGGGCTGGGTCCAGCTTGGTTTGGTGGCCCCTCCTGGCCTTCCCATAGCCCAGGCAGCCTGTGGGGTCCCTGACTCGGCAGGCGAGGTGCTGCCCTTTCCTCTGCAAATGCCCTGCTTCTAGGATCTGTTAACTCTTCCCATTTGATTCCCCTCCTCCCCTCCCTGCTCCTTCCACCAGACTGAGCTCGTCCCTCAGTTCCAGAGAACTGTTCCTTGTTCTCTCACAGACTCTGTCCTCTGTGCATCCCTTGTTCCCAGTCTGCTTGGAGGTCTCCCTCACATTGCTGTCCTCCCCAAGCCCAGAGGACAGAGCTGGTGGGAGAGGGCTCTGAGCAGCCCCTTCCTCCTTAGCCGCTCATGCCTTAGCCAGGAGCTTAAGTCTAGCCAGCCACCAGGTGGAAAAACCGAGGCCCAGAGAGAGACGGGGAACTGCTCAAGATCTATGAGAAAGTCTGAATCAGAACTGGGACTAAAAGATTAGGGCTGGGTCTTCCGGACGTTACTGGTAGACAACGTCTCTGGAACCAGCCTGTAGCAAGACAACCTCCTTGCAAGTCTGCAGGAAGTGGAAGCCACGGGGTCAGGTCAGGCAGTGGCTTTGGAGATCTCTCGCTAACTGACATCGACTCCGCCCTCCTGCCTCTGCATCTAACCTTTTCCATTAGTCGTGCTGGCTCTGTCACTCATTCTGGTGACATTTATTCTGTCCTCTATCTATCTCCTCTCAGCCGAACTCTGGGCAATGTCAACCCGGTCAGCTCGTACCCCACGCACCCCTCCCCGTCCGCAGGCATCACTGTGGCCTGGAAAATGTTAAAACCAACCATTTGGGGGACCACAGGCAGCTCTGTCAGCTGTTTTGCAGTTGGTCCAAGAATAGAATTGTCTCCTCTCGGCTGGATTTAGAGGGTCAGGGGACACAATGAGGGCCTTAGGACACCAGGTCCTCTCATCCGAGGGTCGTCATCAGAGAGTGAGGACCTTCATCACTCTCAGAAGGCAGAGGATACCGCTCAGCGAAACATGAGTCGAAGGCCTTTAGAAGTGCGTGCTCCTCTCCTGGAAGTGCCGGAGGGGTGGCGGCGGGGGCCCCGGTGACCTCCCCTCCTCTGAAAGCGGGGGAAACGGCCGTCGGTTGGAAGCCACGTGGGAACACCATCCACCAGAGAAACCAAGCCAATTCAACCCACCATTTATTGTTGTGCAAGCCTGTTTGCAGAACTGAGGGGGTCTTCTAGCCGGGGCGTGGGCAGGAAGCCACGTGGCCACAGGGTGCGGGGCCCACACAGGATGCGACCACCAGAGGCTCAGGTCCGGATGCCGCACGGGCCGGAGGCGTCCTCAGCCACACTCCAGGTCGCTCGCGTGGGAACGGGGTTGCCGGGACGGCGGTCGTAGTATTAGTGAGGATTCAGCTCGTTACAGTATATAAAATGCAGCAGTTAAGAGCCTGTGCTTTCACCTTCCGGTCAGTCAGATCCCAGATCAAACGCCAGCTGTGTGGCAGGCGAGGCACCGCGCTCCGCAAGGCTGCTTCCTCATCTGTGAGGCACGGACCGGCCTCCCCACCTCACTGAGTACGCGAGGATTACGGGGCTCAGGAGCGCGCGTCTCCCAGGCGCCACACAGCTGGCCAGCCAAGGGAAGCTTCCACAGCCCCGTAGGGCCGTCCCGACTGCTCCAGCCATCCTGGGACCACGCCACTTGAGCGGGGACTATGGGGACGCCTGTGCACCCCACGCACGGGACCGCACCTGCGTGAGGCAGAGAACGCCTCCACCGAGAGGAGCAGGCAGCTCGGAGGGCGGCGCTGGGGGAAGGCACGGCATCTTGCAAGAGATGCCGGAATGGCAATGCTTAACCCAACGGAACTTGACGGCAGCGGCGGAACTTCAGGCCCTGTCGCGGTGGCGGCGGCGGGTGGCCTTTCGGCGCACCCCCGGTTCCCACGTACACCGTGAGGGGACGCGCGGCGGCCTTCCGGGGTTGGCTCCAGACGGCGCGGCGCGCCGAGGCCCGCGAGCGCGTGCGCACTTCTGGCCCTTGATTGGCGGAGGGGGCGCCTGCGGGGAGGAGTCTGACCACTGAGCTCCACCCCACATCTGCCCGGGGTCCGAGCGCCCAGCGCCCAGGGCACCCGCCTGCAGAGAAAAGGCTCCCCGCCTCTGCGCGCCCTCCTCTCCTCAGGAAAACGCCAGGGCCGAGTTCTCTAGGGGCGTCTGGACCGTGACCTGGGGTGGGGGGTGGGGGGTCGGAACAGCCTCCGACCCCAGGGCTGGGGCTGGCCTCGCCCGGGCAGGCCTCCGTCCCCGGTGCCGCCCCGGGGGTGGGTGGTGCGGCCGGGAGGGGCCGCCCTGGGCCCCTGGGCGTCCGGCGGTCAGACCAGGGAAACTTCGGCCTGGAAACTGGAGGAACGGCGCGCGCCAGGGCTGACGCGGGTCAGCATGGACACCTGCGTGCTGCACGTGGCCCCGCTGCTGCCTCCCGAGGGGTGCTGGTATTTGAGGTTCCAGCCCAAGATGCCCTTCAGGTGCCAGCGCCGCCACTTCCGCCGCAGCTCCGCCTGTACCTGGAGGGAGGGGGAGAGGGAGGTTGGTCAGGTCCGCCCCTAGGAAGCCTCCTCCACCGCCGATTGGGCTGCCCCGGATTTAGGGTGCTGAGCCAGCCAGTTATAGCCTCTTGGGGAGTCTACACTGAGAGACCCGAATGCTACCTTGGCCAGTGCCCAGTTGGGACCACACAGGAATGGGGGTCAAATCGAGGCCTTGGAGTGGGAGGAGGTAGGAGGCGGAGAGGATCAGAGAGTGCAGTCCAGGGAGGGAGAGGGGTGCTGCCTGGGGGGTGGCTGTATTCCCGTTCTTCCGATCCCTGCCCTCCAGCTCACTTGGGCTCATCTGAGTGGATGGATTTCTGTGCTTTGCAACCAGGGCTCCACAATAACTCAGCCTCCGATGGCTGCCCACCCCCACTCGCTGCACACAGCTGCTTAACAAACTGATGTGCACATGAATCCCAGGTGTGTGCGCGTGTGTCTTGAAATGCACATGCGAAGTCAGCAGGTCTGGGGAGCGGAGTGGGGGCAGAAATCAGCCCTTTTAACAAGGTCCTAGGTGTGCGCCCCCACCTGTTTTCTGGTCTGAGAACCACACTCGGAGTAGCAAGATTTAACCCATCCTTGCTCTGCACATATCTCGTCAGTGTTTCCAGACCCTGGGCCAACCAGAGTGCTATTGCCTGGCCCCCCAAGGTCTGGGAGGGGCTTACCTCGCCATTGAGGAAGCAGTAGAGGATGGCCACCACAAAACCCTGGGGAAGAAGGGGGCAGGAGAGGTGAGGTAAACAGACACCGGGAGCCCCCAGCCCTGTACCACCCCTGGCCCTGGCCCCTGTGTTCCCCTGGTTAATCGAAGAGCTAAGCATACAGCAGGTGCTTAATCAGTACTTATTACAGTGGGGAAAAAAAAAAAAAAAGGAAGCCACTGGCAAGGGGCCAAGGCCCCAGGTTGAATACCCTTAAAGCCCAGAGAAGAACGCAGCCTTTGGTTGATGGTTCATACCTGGAAAGACCCCACGACGAGCTCAAACACCATTTTCACTTCAGCTTTGAAGTTGTGGGGAAAGAAGACGAACATGAAGTAGTGCACTCCAAACAGGGGGATCAGCAGAAGGGTGGACTTGGCCAGCCTCCTGGGGACAGGAGAGGGGCAGACAGTGGGTACAGGAGGTAGGGACAAGTGGGATGTATGAGGATGGGCTGCTGGCTCCTGGAAATATTATGTGCACCTCTGTTCCTGCTCCAGATCTGCAGTGCCTATGCCCTCATGCCCCTCAGCTCTCCTAGCCTGGAGGGAAGCCTGAGGGAGAAACTCTGTTCTCACCCTTCTAGAGGAGAGACTATAAAGGAGGCCAGTACTGAACCCTGAGGATGAGACATAGTCTTTCAAGCTCTGTGGCAGCAAAGGGAGAGATGTTCTCAGCCCTCGGGAGATCTGGTTCCTCCTCTCCTGGTCTCAGTTTCCCTAATCTTTACAGTGGGGTAAATGTCTGCTCGACATGATCAAATTACAGACATGGGGCCCACTGTAAATTCAGAAGTGCTTTGGGCGCTATAAAATGCAGTGCCTCCAGGAGAAACCAATTCTCTACTGGGGATGAGGACATTTGGGAAGGAAGTCTCTGTAATTGGGGTGCTGGCCACACATGCCCAAGGCCACCTGGGAGGATGCTGGGCATTCAAGTTTGTGCCTGGTTTAGTACAGCTCTCTGTCTCTGGCTTCTCTGCCGTCCACTCCTCCAGGAGCTGCCACCTTTTCTGGAATTGCTGCCCTCTCTCCCAGCCTCCCCATACCAATACACACACTCCCAGCATTCTCAGAAGGGCCAGCGCCTCCTTCACCAGCCTTGTGTGCTGGGCAGGGCTGATATTCATTCTGAATGACTCCTCCCTCTTCGATGGAGCAGGGCTCATCCTGGTTGAGGCCTCCCAGCCACCTGAGCTCAGAGCTGGTCCAGGCAGCTCAGTGAGCTCATGGTTCCCTGGCCGGGAGAGGTCTGAGGGGCAGGGGTCTCTGCCTTTATCTCTTCTGCCTTGGCAGTCAGTCTGGGGAACCCTGGTCCTGGGTCTGAGGTCCCACAGCCGACTGGGGGCAGAGAAGCTGGCCTTGCCCCTCCTGCTCCTTCCTGGACCCGGTTCCCAGCCATGCCAAGATCCAGAGCACTGCCCATCCCTCTTGGGCCACAAACCTATCCCACGTGCCCAAGGCTGACAGATGGAGGCTTTCTTTAAATTGAAGGCTTATGGGGAGGTGGAGAGTGGGAGCTGACAGCCCCTCAGCGGGGAGCTCCATCTCCCATTCCCCCCCACCCCTTCTGCCTGCCGACAGCTGTTCAGTTTCTGTCTCACCCACGGGGACCTGGTGGTGACCAGGTCTCTTTGCTTCCGATTTGAGCCCTTTGGAGCAGTTGTACGTTGGGGGAAAACAGGGCCCCACAGGCAAAGCAGAGGATAGGGATGCACAGGCCTGATGTGCTGCCCCCTGGCAGAGGACAGACCCCTGCGGGGCCTTCCATTCTCAGACTGGAAGGGAAGCTCCTCCTACGCACCCAGCGGGGGAGAATGCCGTCACACCGGGAACGTGAGCCTTAGTCTCATCAGAGAGAATCACAGGATTCCAGAATAGAATCCTAAATCCAGCAGCTCGTGACATTCTAGCCAAGAATCTTAGAACCACAGCACAAGACTCCCCAGAGAGAAGCCAGGCCAGGAACAGTCCAGAATCCCAGGACTGGAAGGCCCTTATGGGGCTCCCCAGGGTTGTCTGGTCTCTGTAGCACTGATAAGCCATCTCCTATTCCCATCTGTAGGCAGGCAGACCCCTACTCACCTCCCCACAGCCACCATGTCCATGTTTCTTCAGTTCTGTCCTCGAGCCCTGTTGTTCTCATGAAACCCTACCTAGTTCTCCAGTCTTCCCAGGAGTAGAGGACAGCCCCCACACCTTTCTAAGCAAGGAGCATGACCACTGTCCCATGACACCGTGCCCTCCCCTGCCATGGCGATACGCTCCCAGACCCCTGAAGAGAAGGGAGCCTGTGTCCGTTTCCTCACCTATAAAATGGGAACAGTTTATAGGGGACTGTGTGGATGACATAAGATGATGCGTGGAAACCCCTTAGCACACACCTGACACGTAAACCGCAGGTGTTATTATTACTGGGGACTGCCGCATCCTGCATGTGGCTACCTCAGTGTTCATCTGGGGGCTCCCCCAGGGCATGCATCTACTGGGCATTTACTGTGTCCCTTTTCTGTGCCAGGCACATGCCAGGCACTGGGCACGTGGTGTGAATAAAGCACAGGTTATCTGTTGTCCTCTCAAGCTCCCTGGCTTGGCGGCAGGTGCATACCTGGGTCAGATCACTTGCTAGGTAAGTGACTGCAGGAGAAGCAGTCCTGGTGAAGGGGGGTGGCCTGGGGCAGGCGACACTTGTGGGCTGAGCCAGGTCATGGGGGTGGAGGTGGGCAAGAGGAAGGTGGCTATTTGGTGACTCCGGAGTCACCAAAGTTCCTGGAGAACTTCAAGGAAATGTGGGCAGATTTGAAGACTGGGGATGGGGACACTGGGGGACCCAGGGCATACTCACGAGTACGGGCTGCTGTCACTCTTCCCAACATCTGGGGACCGAAGTTTCTGAACCAGGATTCGGATGATGCGAATAAACAGGATAAAGTTCACCTGGCGGATGAGGTCAAGGTCAGAGAGGGGAGGCCAGGTTGTCCAGCTCCCTATTCCCCCAGGACCCTGCTGCCTGTCCATCTTATCTCTTCCCTAGCTTTTCCCCCTTTGGGCAGGCCATCTGGGAACTCTACTTCACATCTCTAAGGAATGGGCCTCCCAATCCATTTTCTTTACCCTAGAGGAAGAACTGATGGGGAAAGGGATGGGGATAATCCTGCATAGGCACTGGGAAGCCTATGTTTCAGGTCTGACCCTGACATGAATCTCTTGTGTGGCCTGAAGAAAGTTGACTACCCAAGCTGGGCCTCAGTTTCCCCATCTCTACGTGGTGGGAAGAGGCCTTACCAAGATGGAGGTGAGGATGGGGGCCTGTATGATCCACCACAATGAGGAGTTGATGGTGTCCCAGCATCTGGACAGGGCATGGTGGGGGAGAATGAGAGCAGTTGTCCGTAGCCGGATTCAGAGACCCTCCCTGGTGTTCCAGCTCTGCCCCCAAACCGTTTAGAAACTACAGGCCCAGAGTCTGTTGCTCCCAGGTCCCCCTCATCCCACCCAGGGGATCTGCCCCAAGTGATGGCAGCCAGGGGGAGGGGGCGGGGTGGCAGCTCACCCGTAATCTTCAAAATGGATCATGATGATGGTCCACACAATGGTGAATGTGCTGGGCACCCCTGTCAGGGCCAAAGGCGAGAGAAAGAGAGGAGAGGGCACAAGGGAGAGGTTTAGGAGAAAGAACCAGGGTGAATGGGAGGGAGGGAGGGAGGGCGGGAGGGAGGGAGGAAAGGGTAGGTTGCCAGGGCTGCCACCTGCAGTTACATAGGTTGTTCACTGAGCAAAGATACTCGCTCCACTGAGGGGGTGGAGCTCTATGCCTGAGGGGCTGTGTCCACCCAAAGGGAGAATCTTTTTCTAATTTAGATGGAGGCACTTTACAGACTAGCAGTCACCCTGTGTGTCAGGGGCTGAAGGGGAAATGGATGTTCACAGAACCTGTCCCACAGATCAGCCCTAGGTGCAGCTGCAGCCTGAGGGCACCTGCCCTGGGGTCAGATGTTTGGGGGACTTTTGTCAACTCTTTGCCGAGAGCCTGGGAGGCAGGACCCGCAGCTCAGGGAGACCTAAGAGTTCAGGCAGGGTTGGCACCCACCCCCTAGTGAGCTCCCCAGGCCTCGCCCCTTCTGTCCCCAGCTTGGAAGCCCTCCCTGGTACCATACCCCAGCCGATGAGTATGTACCCCCAGAAGTACTTCCGCTCAGAGAAGAAGGAGACGGCCAGCAGGGTGTGCAGGTAGAGGCCCTCCACCAGCAGCCAGAAGAAGTTGGCCATGACACAGTACTGGAATAAGACCATGGCTGCCTTACAGCCCACCTGCAGGGGGAGGACAGAGAAGGGGCTCACTGGGGCTCACAGCGGTCCCCTGCCTGCCCCCAGTCTGTTTGGGGCAACAAACACAGTGGGGCAGGGCCAACTTAATCTCTCTGTTGTTTTTGCATTGTCCCCTTAGAAATGTCCCTGGTGGTTTTCCCATTATCCTTGATTTTAGATCATCTGATATTCTGGGATAAGCTTGCAATTTTAATTATCCATCCATCAGTTTAGCATCTATTCATTTTCCTTCTATATATCTACCCACCCAACCACCTATCTATTTCTTTACCCATAAGATACCCACTACCAGCTCACCCATCTGTCCATCCACCATCCATGCATCCACTGATCATTTATTCATCTTCCCATCTATCAATCCATCCATTTCTCCATTCTTCTACCTTTCCACCTACTAGACACCCACTAGCATCCATCCACCTATCTACTCGCCCACCCCCTACCAATCATCAATCCAGTTTTTCTTGTTTGACCCATCTATCCTTCCACCTACACAGCCACCCATGCACCGACTTACTCAGCCATCCCTCTACCTACCCATTCACTTAACCCTTTCCCCACCCACTCATTCACCTTATTTCAATAAGGATTGAAGGTAGCTGGAAGAAGGGAGAATTCTTGCTTGAGTTTGCAAGAGTTGCCTGAATGTGTGGGGCTATGCACTGCGGGCTGTGGAGTGGGGCCCTGATGGAAGTGCTGAGGACAGATGGGGGCAGAGAAGAGGCAAGAGGAGAAGGAAGTAGAAATGAAGAAGAGGAGAGGGAAGGGATGGTCATTCCTCCTGGGGGCAGAGGAGCTGGCGGGAGAGTGGGTTCCCCAGGCAGGTGAGGACAACGGGAGAGTCAGGGGGATCCCTGAGTAGGGCAATCAGGGGCTCTGGGTGGCCCACCTGGCATGACCAGAAGGTCCTGTGGGCCTTCTGTCCTCTCCCAGAAACAGTCTTCCATTTCGGAGCAAGCCCAAAGAGCTGTGAGCCGGAGCTTAAAGCCATCCCCCTCCAGGAAGCCCTCTAGATTCCACGCCTCCCTGGAACACAGGTGCCCAGCCTTCCTTCCTGTGCCCTGGGCTTTAAGACATCCTCAGAGAGCAGCTTACTCTCCTGTCCCTCTGGCTGCAGGCTCCTTCCTCGGGTGGCACTCCAGTCCTGTCAGCTATAGGGGGGCTGGTGTCCCCCATCCTCCCCCACTTGCTTTACAACTAGATTAGCTCATCTCTTTAACAGGACAATTATCTCTGCTTCTTGCCTTTGAAAAGCTTCAGATAGTTGCTAATGAACTGGGAAGCCAGTCTCCCGCAACTCTCCTTAACAAGCGTGCTGGAGACTTCCTGGCTTCCCAGGGTCCTAGTTCCTGGGTGGGATCCTCTGAGGAGCTCTGGGATTTGCCAGGGTGGCCACTCTGGGTTTTCCCTCCCTCTTGTCAAGATGCCCGAGATTCCACCATCATAAGTTCATTCTCTGGGGAGAAGGTATTGCTGACCCCCGAAATAATGCACTGCCTTTGACGTCCCTCATGAAGCAATGAGTCCCTGGCCATAGGAATCATAGGAATAGGTGGGAGCCAGGGCTGGTCTTGAGCTCTCTGTCCTAGCTCTGGGGCACTCAGAGAGGGGGCCCAGTGCTGACGATCACTTGGAGATGGACCCCTTAGTGATGGGCAATGAATTCTTTAGACTCTCTCTTAACTTCCCTCCCCGAGGAAGGCCCAGAACGGGGCTGATGGCAGGGGAAAAGGGAAGAGAAGGGCTGTGTGTTTGGACTGGCTCCAGGTGGTGGTGGTGGGTGGAAGGGTGTAGGAAGGAAGCTTGGAAGTCCTTGCAAGATGGGGAAACTGAGGCAGGGAGTTCCCAAAGGTCACTTGGGAAGTCCACAACAGTGGCGGAACAGGGGGGTTGTGGACTCTGGCCATAAAATGTCCCATTTCCCACCCAGGAGAGGCATTTGTCACGGGCAAGGGCAGGTCTGTGAGCTCCCGGGGAAGCTGAGCACTATCTCCTGCTGCTGGGAGGGGAGTGGGATTCAAGGAGCTGCAGATGGTGGCAGATGGGGGGTTGGCCATCCTTGGAGAGAGAGAGAGGAGGAAGGAGGAGAGAGGGAAGGGGGAGAAAGTGGGAGAAGAGGGATCAAGCATGAGAAGGTGAAGGGGAAGAGGGAGAGCGAGGTGGGCCTGGGCAGGGTTCTCACCGAGCCCATGGTGCAATGGTTCAACTCCTCGCTGTCGAAGAGGGTCAAGTCTTTGATGAAGACAGAGGCGGCCCTCAGGATGAAGGACATGAAGAGGTGCATGTGGATGTAGTTCCGCGTGCAGTGGAGCTTCCTGAGCAAGGCGGGCAGAGCTGGGTGGCTGCAGGGGCCTCGGACCCCCACCCCAACCACACTGTCCAGTGCTCCGTGCACGCGCGCGAGGGTAAGGCAAGGGGCAGTGTGTGGCCTCCAAGTGCAGGCCCTGCCCACAGGTACCCCAGCCCTGAGGCAGCCTGGCCTCCCAGTGCCTCAGCCTCCAGGGCCGCCCCACCCTCTGGTGCCCTATCCCGGGCTTGGTGCCATCCTGTGGGGACTAGGCTGAGACAGGTGGACCGCTTTGAGCAGCTTGCTGTCTCCCCAGGAGGTCGGCCTGGCAGGGGGACGGGGACAGGGATTGTGTGCTGCCTGGGTGCGAGGGGGATGACCGGGGAGGGGGCCAGAGCATGACTGGGCCAGGCCGGGCTCGAGCAGAGGAGCGAGCTGGCTGGGTCCGCTTTGAGGCTTGTTGCTGGGGCTAGACCTCACCTGAACAGGCTCAAGATGGCCGTGGCAACGAGGAGGGCAGCGAGGGACAGGCTGTGGCCAATGGTGTAGCTGGTCTTCACGAAATTGTAGAACATGGACCGCTGCTACAGGGGAGAGCGGGGGGGGGGGGTCCGAGGTAGAGGTGGGGGGCTCATCTAGGGGGTGCTGGCAGGGGCGCATGCCCTACACACCCTGCCTCCCATCCCTGCCTTGGCAGATGAAGGGGCCCAGGGCTTGGCTCCCCAGCGGCCCAACACTCTCGCCCTTCAGACTCCATATGAGGCCCTTTCCCTGGGCAGCAAGAGAGGCGGCAGGGCATTAGGGTGCCAAAGAAGACACCGCGGGTAATTTGCCCCCGTGGGCTCTCAGAGGCAGCAGTCTGCAGGGTGAGGGCAATCTGGCCTTTCACGGGGTGGCAGGACAAAGCTAGAATCCAGGGGCTTCTTGCTGGACGCCTCCGCAGTGCCCTCCCCATGGACACACATGCAGAGCCTCGGTCACTGGGCCCTTCCCTTCTCGCTCTCCACGTCCCATCCCTGCCGGAGTCCAGGCAAGGGGTCAAGTGGGATTTAGGGGATTTAGATCCTGCCTGAGGAGCTGGTGGACTTTGAGGGCCTCTGAGGAAGTTGCCCTCGTGGGAGGAGTGAAAGCTCTGAGAAGAGTGTCTGGGGGTGGGACAGATGTCACGGCCGACAGACACACGCACACACCTGTGTCCCCACACCAAAGCAGTGAGGGGCTCCTAGCTGAGGACTCCAATTACACTCTACCTTCCTGTCCGAATCCCTGCCTGGCTCCTGGGCCCACATCCATACAGTGAGCACATCTTCACCTGCTCCGGGGCATCTCCCTGTCCTGGGACTCAGGACCACGGTACTGTCCCTGTTCCTGTTCCTGTCCCTGGCTGGCTGCTGGGTATCTGAGGGTGGTCCTTCCAGGATCTGCCCCTCAGTTTCTCCTCTGCATGAGACGGGAAGATGAGGCCCGCCTGGCCTGCCCTCTCTAGGGCTGGAGCAAGGCTCCCGCAAGGCGCTGGGGTGGCCCAGCCGGGGGATGCTGCTTCAGCTTCTGCTGCTATGTGTCATCCTCGTGAAAGCCCCCTTCCTGTTCCCAGTCAGGGAGAGACAGGGGGATGAGCCCCTGGAAGTGCAGGTCTGGTGAGGGAGGAGGCTTGGGCAGGGCAGATCCTCCCCCCCACCCCCGAGTCCTGGCTTCCACACAGACAGCAACCTTACTCCTTGCTAGGGGAGAGTGGAAGGAGCCTTGCAGGCGGATGCACGCTGGGGGGTGGGGGGTGGGGCAGGGGTGCACTGAGGCCCACCTGGTCCAAATCTGATGCCTTGTCATCCCAGCCACAGGCAATGGGGTAGGGGCCAGGCTCCAGGTGCATCCAGCCCTCGTTGGTGCAGCTACGGCTCACGTTGCGGCCTGGGCGGAGAGGAGAGAGGTTGAGGCTGGGAGCAGGGTGAGTCCATGAGTAGGCGTGGGGCCTGGCTGTCTCTGAGCTCACCTTATCCCTGCCACCCCGGGTTGTGACGGGCTCCAGCCGCCCTGCCCTCGACCCCGGGGCATCATGGGGGACTTGGGGTGGGGAAAATCTCCTCCAGGGCTGCCCAGGGGGACCCTCCAACACGAGTGACAGTCAGAGCAGACCTTCCTGGGCTCAGCCCTGCCCCTTGTCATGTCTTGAAACTGAACCCCGGTGCAAGATAAATAAAGTGATCCTCGTCACAGCCGGGATTCTTGGTACAGAATGACCCGTGACCCTCGTCATGAGCTGAGTGTCCACCCTTGTCACAGGGCCATAGGCGGCTGGTGCGGCAGAGGGTCTCTTTGCCCTGTGGGTACAGACAGCTGCCCTCTGGCTGGGCCGAGGGGCTCGTCCAGGATCAGTCGGCCTGGGCTGACGGGCCCACTTTCCTCCCTCACCCAGCATGGCTCAGACGTGCCACTGGAGAGGGACCAGAGGTGAGGCAGGAAGGAGGACGCCTGATAAGGGCGCAGGTCTGAAATCCTAAGTGGAGAAGCAGGGAGTCGGAGTCCTGGCCGGGGAGCCTGCCCAGGCAAAGGCGTGTGCGGGGCGGGGAATCACACAGCACAGCCCCGCAGGATCTTGGGGCTGAACTTCACTGCGGCTGGGGCTCCGGGGCTGTGGCATCCTCCACCGTCCTCGGAGGCCCAAAGCTGCAGCAAAGGGACAGGACCTACTAAGGGGGCCTGTGGTGTGAGGGCTACCCACGTGGCAGCCCGCTCTCTAGCCCTGGCGAGGGGCTGCAGAGAAAACGGGGGAGCCAGAGAAGAGCCCAGGACTCACTAAAGAGCACCCAGGGCTGAGTCCCGGAGAAAGCTGGCTTGTTGGGGTGGGAGGGAGGGGGGGAGAGGAGGAGAGGAGGAGGGAGAGAATGATGAGGTGAGGAGATGAGGAAGAGCTGAGAAAGAACAGGGTCCCCAGTGTCCTCGCTCTGTAGTTCCTTCCCCACCAGCAGGTGGCCGCTCTCATCACGGGGGTCACGAGCACCAGCACCAAGCAGCATCACCACCACCAGCTCCAGCACAATGGCAAGTTTGGAGAACCTTCGTTTGTCACTACTGGACAGAGCACGTGAGGCCCAGCGTCTTACTGGATCCCCTCAACCCTCTGGTGAGGAAGGGAATCCCATTTCCCACTGGAGCAGCCAGGCTCCCCGAGGTTGGTCACTTGCCCCAGGCCACACGGAGAGGACAGGCTCCGGCAGGTGTGATCCCCAGAGTTGTCCCAGGCGACCTTGCCCCCGCCTGCACTGAGGGGACCTGAGGACTTGTTTCGGGTGTCCAGGCGCAGAGCTGTAGGAGGAGTCGAGCTGTCCTGAGAGCTCGGCGGGGGGGGGGGGGTCACTGTGCATGTGCATTTAATATTTCTCAGCTTGGCTTGGAATACACCCGACCGCGTGATTCCCTGTCCGCCATTTCTGGAAATCCTCCTGGCCGCCCTCTGAAAGAGGTTCTTCCCCACCCTACTTGATGGCTGAGGAACTGAGGGACAGCCAGGGAGGAGTAGCCCAGCCTGGGTCTCTTCCCACTGCGAGGTCCTGGGGCCAGCAGGAGAGACTCCACTGAGGCTGAGGCGTCGGGCTGGGCCAGTTCCTGACTTGGCAGCCCTTTTCTGTGCTGGCCTCCCAACGGCCCTGCGGCAAGAGGCTCCCAGGGCAAGAGAGAGGTCTTCACTCAGCCCCTTAGCTTTCCCCCCCGTGCAGCCTGGGTGGGCTCCATGCAGGCCTGCCTCAGCCCCAGATCTCAGGACCTCACCGAGGGCCCCTCCCAGGATCCGATTCTTGTGCGGACTTCCCCCACCAACCGGGGGCCTGGGGCAAGTCAAAAAAGGCTACAGGGCCAAATCAGCCAGCCTTGAGGTTGGAACACCAATGCCTCAAGTTTTGAGCTCCCCACTGGCCAGAAGGACCAGGGCTCGGTGAGGCCAGGCCCGTGACATGGCAGACACCTGGTGCCATCATGAATTAGGTGACCCATCAGCATCCACACCGCAGGGGCTGGGGACAGCAAATGTGACTGTGTTAAAGCTAGCCATTAGGAGTTATTACGAGTTCCACTAAAGGAGGGGCATGCCAAGGCCAAGAGAGGTCGGGTGACTTGCCTATGGTCACACAGCAAGGAGGCAGCAGGCTTGGGATACAGTCGTGGGTTAGCCTGGCTCCGCATCTTTCTGGGCTTCCAGAGTGGCTGAAGGGGCACCCTGGATAGGGTGCTGGATAGGCTGGCTACCCCGGATATCGGGGGATGGGAGCAGATAGCGGGTCATCTTCGGGGTTGGGTGGCCTCTTTGTAGAGCCCTGGGATTGTGGCCCAGGTCTCAAAGGGAACTATTCTTGAAGAGAGATCTCAAGGGTGGCCACCATGAGACCCGAAGAAGCAGTCCAAAGTCTGTCTCCAGCCTGGGCCTGGGAACCAGTAGAACTTGTGTGTATAGAGGGGACTATGGAGGGGGCAGAGGGAGGGGCTAGGGACTTTAACCCCCCAATCTCCCAGTTTCCTGCGGCTCACTGGGTCACACAAAGAAGTCACTGCCCTCCTTCCCCCCCCTCCCTGGGCTCTCCATGAGAAAAGCACAGCTCAGTGACTGGAAGTAGAAAACAGGGGAATTGCTTCCTCCCTGCTGCCCTCTCTCCCCTCCCCATCAGTCACCAGTCCCATCCCAGCTACCCTTCCTCACCACCACCACTATCTTCTCTCTCTGGAATTAGCCAGGAGCCTCCTGATGGGTCTCCCTGCCTTCCTGTCCCCTCCAACCCGCCCCCACCCCGAGATAGCTGAGGAAATTGCTCTCAAACCTAGCTCTGACCATGGTGCTCTCCGGCTGAAATCCTGTCAGTGGTGCCCCGTCCCATTGAGCCGGGGCAAACGTCTCAGGTTGGCGTCAGGACTTTCTTATCTAGGGCTTCACGATGCAGGGGGTGGAGCAGGGCGAGGAGGTGTCCCACAGACCCACAGACATGGGTAATGCAGCCCGTGGGGAGTCTTCTCAACCAAAACATCGATCCTAGTTGTCACTCCTAAAAAATGTCTCTTCAAATATTTCAAGGTAAAAACACCACAGATGAAAGACGTGCAGACCAGGAATCAAAGGACTAAGCCCCCATGGACATTTTGGTGCCTTGATGGGCGCTCCCTTGCCTGGCCAACACTCCTCCCCCACGGTTGTTAACCACCCAGCCTGGGGAGATGGCTTCTCTCTAACTCTACAGTCTTTATCCTTTTCAGGTGCCTTCAGCTTTCCCTGTAGAACTACAACCCTTCCAATACTTCCAGGGAACACACTCCTTCCCCAGTCCTGCTACCTAAATGGGGGAGAGTTGGGGTTGGCATTGTCCCTGCTCTACACTTGCCTTCTCGCAAACCTCCCTCTTTGGAGTTTAAGGTCACTGGCTCACACCTTCTTCCCAGGAAAACACGCCCTCTTTCCCTTCCATTTTTAGCCCCTAACCTGGTCTCCATTTCTCTCCATCCTTTTCAGGGGCTAAGGCCACCAGGTATAGCTAGCTGTGCAGGTTGTTCACTGTACAAGGGCATCTGGCTGATAAACATGGCGGCTACAGTCTACCTCATATTCAACTTGTCATTAGGTGGGTTCTGGTGAGAGGCTGAGGAGGGGCTGCCTTCTCATCTGCACAAAGGCACACGTGGGCCTCAATGAGGCTGGCAGCCTTTGGGGGGTGGGTAGCCAGATGGTGGGCTGCCGTCCAGGTTCTTAAGTGAAGGAGCTGCCTTGACAATTCCAGCAGGGACAGAAGGAAAAGCCGTCAGGAGGAATGCAATTAGCCGAGTGTCAAGGAGGAACACGAGTAGCAGGCATTCCAGGGATCTGAGAGAAGGCTGGTTGCCAGGCTCTGCAGATTGGATGCACCAGAGCTGCCGGAGGAGTTCATTGCCTACCTGCCCAGGTGCTGGGTTCCCCCGGAGAGCTGGGCTAGGTGGGAGCTGGCCGGGATTACGGCACATTTCTCACTGCTCCCAGACTCCTCAGGGAGGGCACCGAAGTATCTCTCTCACCGCTGAGGTCACAACACTGGGGGCGGGGGGGGGGGGGGGGGGGGGGGGGGCGCTTGCGTGCAAAACCAACCTGCTCCAAAAAGTCCCTTTGGCCCACCACCTGTCCCCATTTTACAGAGAAACAGATCCAGAGAGGGAAAGGCCACCTGGAATAAGAGATGTCCAAGAGTCTTTCTGCTCAGCCTCTGAATTCTTATCTAGGTCCCGCTCCTCTTAATCCTCCCCTCTCCACACCTGCTCCTCCCTCGGGTCCTCCCCCTCCAGACCTGCTCCCTCCTTGGGTCCCTGCCCCTCCAGACCTGCTCCTCCCTCGGGTCCTCCCCCTCCAGACCTGCTCCCTCCTTAGGTCCTCTCTGCTCCAGACCTGCTCCTCCCTTGGGTCCTCCCCCCTCCAGACCTGCTCCTCCCTTGGGTCCTCTCCACTTCAGACCTGCTCCTCCCTTGGGTCCTCCCCACTCCAGACCTGCTGCTCCTTTGGATCCTCCCCCCTCCAGACCTGCTCCTCCCTTGGGTCCTCCCCCTCCAGACCTGCTCCCTCCTTGGGTCCTCTCCGCTCCAGACCTGCTCCTCCCTTGGGTCCTCCCCCCTCCAGACCTGCTCCTCTCTTAGGTCCTTCCCTCTCCAGACCAGCTCCTCCCTCAGATCCTACCCACTCTAGACCTGCTCCTCCCTTAGTCTTTGATGAGTCTCCCAGCTCATCAAACCTAGACCCAAGGAGGACAGGCTGGATCCCTCCCTCCCTGCCATGAGTCACACACACCCTTCATAGGCAAATTTCCCACTTCTCTCCTCTGCCATGCTCCAAGTCCAAACCATTACCTTGTGACTGGGTCTTCCCATTGCACTCCCAGAATCCTTTCTTTCATGGAAATCTGAATTATCGGTTAAAAACCTAAACCTGAATTGGACTACGTCAGTCCCCTACTGAGGAGGGGGAGCCACCCCAGTGGCTTCTCAGTGAACTTAGGAAAAAGTCCAAGTCCTCAGTCAGTGCTCAGGGCCAGCATGGCTTCTGCCGCCGGTCTCTTTCCTCTCCTCCCTCCCCTGAGCTCTTTCTGCTCACCCACTCCATTTCTTTGGTGTCCATCCCACGGGCTGCTGGTTGTCCCTCCCCGTGATCCCCACACCCAGATCTTTCCCATCTCCAGGTCTTCGGACAGCAGCCGAAGTATCACCGCCTCTATCCATGAACACCTGCCTTCATGTTGTGCCTTAGCCCCTTCTCCTGCCCAGGACTCCTCACCGTTTATGACATGTGTTTGTTTTCATGCTAAATGTCTCTTCAGCTCGAGCCAGGCAGACAGCATGGCTGTGCTAATGCTCCCTGCCCTGTGTTTGTCTAGCCCATGCCTATCATACTAGTAGATATTTAAGAAATGGTCACTGAATGGAAGAACGGCTGAATATATTCTGGAAGCTTCCTTAGCTAGTTGATAGCAAGAAGGCCCAGTTCCTAAAGAGGCTCCTCCTTTTCTTTTCTGCCTTTTATGAGAACATTTACTGAAGCAGAACATGACAAGATGTGTAAGCAAAGCCCAAAAGGTCGTCGGCACCATGGGAGCCATAATTTAGTCATGCATCTGTCAGTCAATTGGTTATCAATTGCTGAACAAATATTTAGTGAGCCCTTCTCACGTGCTTATCTTTTATGTGAAGAGCTAATCAAATCCCATGAATCCTTCGAAGACCTGATGCCAGCACACCTCTTCCAGGAAGCCCCCCCACCAATTGTTCGAGCCGCTTTGACCACTGTCCTTTGCTTTCTCACTTCCTTGACAGGTGAGGACCCACTCCAGCTGGTACCACCTGTGCCGCCCGAGCTCCCTGGCTTCGATCCAGGCCTCTTACCTTGAGCTGGGGAAAATAAGTTAAAGATGAGGGGGCAGGCCAAGACGACCACCTGGCCCGGAGGGGTGGCTGGCCAGCAGGTGAGGTTGTCCCACATCTTGCTGCAGCCTGATGGGGGAAGGCAGAGGACACACAGGTCAGCGTGGTCACCGGGTTCCTCCAGCCTTGGGGCCTGAGCCCACAGGCACCCATTCTTCTTCCTCCTCCAGGGTCCCACCTGGAGGAACCTCCAGCCTGAGAGCTGGCACCATCCTGCCCAGGCTGCAGAGGGCCTGTCCAGATGGGCAGCAGGACTACAGCTCCATGGTCCGCAGCGAGAGATGGAGTGCCCCCGGGGGTGTTTTGAAGAGTAGTGGGGGTTTTGTTTGTTGCAGAGATTGGGGGTCTCACCCTGCACTTATGGGCAGGTGCCAGGGATGTCAGGCAGACATCCTGCAAGGTGTCACACAATAATGAATTGTGTAGTATTCTGCAAGACTTTCAGATGAGCCCCTGGGCATTTGTGTAGGTGAAAACCTTTTGTAATGACCAGAGCCTAGACTCTTACTCCATTTTGCATATAAACACCAGGTACTTACTGTACAGGTTTAACATACGTGGGGTTTTCCAGAAATGCAACTGAGTAAAGGGAGGGAAGACTGTGCTTTGTTGTATGTTGAACATTATTAAGGTTTTGGAAAATCACATTACCTCCAGCAACGTTGTCCGTGGACCTGAGTCAGGGAAGCAACCACCGTGTAGGTCAACCTACTCGTCACATTTCCAGAACGGACAAGCATAGATACAGTCTTCAGACTGTGTCTTATCTGTCAGTGTGATCGTGCCTGAATATGTGCATAGTATTTCATTATAAATCATTTTCCTTTTTATTTTTCTTTTACAACCAGAACTTCATTTAAAATAAAAAATGAATGCACATGTCCTGAATTTCGTTTTATAGTAAAGGAGACATTAAAAAATATTTGTCATAAAAGGAGGTGCCGGGTACGATGGGGTGGTGGGGGTACTGGGATTCAGCTAGGTCTTGAGGTGTCTTCAGAAAATTAAAAAAGCAACACATATGCCCCCAACTCAGTCAAACTGTGATTTGCACTGTGGGGTGGTGGTGCTCAGGAGGTAAGTTTAGAGAAAACCCCGCCCTGCAGGTGAGCCCTGAGGGCTGGCTGGTGAAGGGTGCACAGCGGGGTCCCTAGGCGTCTGCTATAAGAGGCAGATGCATGATTTTGCCTGTTTGGGGTCTGGGTGCCAGTGAGGGACTGGGACTCCTCTGGATCCCCTTGCCGGGGGGAGAATTCACTGTTTCTTGGCAACCCTGCCGGGCCCATAGATTTTCTAAGGAAACCCAACCCCCAAGCCAAAGTCAATGCCAGTTGTACCCAGCCCAGCCCAGCCCAGGTCCGAAGGTTCCTAAGTTCTCACGAAGGGGGCCTGGGAGGAGGAGGTGAAAGGATGTGCCCACTTGGGGAGGAGACTTGGGACCCTGAGTGCCGGATGGGCTGGCAGTGGGGAGGGGGGCCTTCTGGGGCTGCAGCAGCGGGGGTGGGGGGAGAGCAGAGGCTGAAGGCTGACAGCACCTGGATCTGCGGGGCCTGGGCAGAGAGCACAACCTCCCTTCCTTGGGGGCCCCAACCACTTCTGTCCACTCTGTCTTGAGGCTTCTGTGGCCTCCCTCTGGCTCCCAGTCCCTCCTCCACTCCTGTGCCAGCCTCTCTGGAGGCCCTGGAGGGGTCCACGAGGCCAGGCATCTCCAGCTAGCCGTTCAAGGCCCTGTTAATAATATCAGCAAATGCTTACATAGCCTTTGTATTTGGGAGGCACTGTCCTACTCTCTTTAAATAAACAACTTATTTAACCCTCCCATTTTACAGAGGAGTAACTGAGGTACGGAGCAATAAGGTAACTAGCCCAAGGTCACATTGCTGGTGAATGGTGCAGCCTGTTCACACGTTCCTACGCTCCCTTTCCAGCAAACCTCTTGCACTCCTCCCATTCTGAAGGGCTCCAGGCCCATTTCTTATGGGGAATTTTGCTCTGCTGGACTGTTTAGCCCTCTGACTATGCTGGGCACACCTTGTTTTGTAGGCCAGTTATTGTGTCTGGGTCCCCGCCAGACTTCAAGCCCTCTGGATCTCGAGCTCAGCATGGAGCTGGGTCCCTGGCCCTGAGCTCAGCTTCCCCAGAAGCGGCACAGGGAGAGGGAGACTGGGCACTGCCCTTCGGGAGGCTGCACTTGGCCTCAAGGACTCTCAACACCACCAGGACTGGTCTGTGAACTGTGACGTGGCAGGGGAGCCAGGGAAGAAAGGCCATGGAGGGCATGTGGTCAGGGAAGCTTCCTGGAGGAGGCAGCAGGTTCAGGAAGTTGAGAAGGGAGTGACAGGCAAGCAAATGCTAGTGATGTGGAGAGCCTGTTGTCTCTGTGCGTGCCCCAGAGAGGCCCCACGGGCCCCACCACATATGTCCCCAGGCCCACAGAGATGCAGGGCCCTGGCGGGCTGTGTGTGCCCACTGGGGACTGCCACCTCAGCAAGAAAACAAGTCTGGAGCCTGGGGTGGGAGGTGGTGAGGCAGGGCAGGGGGCTTCTGCTCTGCCATTTTATAGACACGTGCGCACCGACAGACACACAGACGCGCACTCCCCAGACACAAAAGAACCACAGACGTACATGCAAATACACATACACGTATGCTTACTTGGACATGGAAAGATCAGGCACAAGCAAGCAAACAAAGGCACAGAGACACCCATGCAACTCACAGATACACATGCATAGACAGGAGTGGGCATACTGCAGATATTCCCACTGATACACGCACACATCCACAAACCAACACACAAAGACACGGCGCACCAGGCAGACGTATCCAGGCCTAGCCAGGCTTACAGAGACACATGCCCCTGCCACAGAGAGACACTCAGAGTCCGACATGGGGCTTTACAGGTCCCAGAGGCACAGGCAGCTCCAGACCCACGTGGGCCAAGAGCACACATCTGGATATGCACGAACATGCACAAAGCCCCACACAAGGTCACGGGCAGACTCATCGCCCACAGACGCATACTCGCCCTGCTCTGGATCCGAGGCCGCCTTCCTGGTGACAGGATGTTGGCACCCGACAGGTGCCCTGTGCCAGCAATGACCTCATTGGGATCACGAGGGTGGCTTGCCCTCGGGGCCTAGGAGGCACTGCAGTGGGGCCTGGGATTCTGGGGTCTGGGCCTCTCTGGGCTGCCTGCAGTCCCAGACCCCACTGCTGGGGCCCGCTGAGGCCCATCTACCGCATCTCCTGCCTCCCTGCCCTGGAGGGTGGGGGGTGGTGCATAGGCAGTGGGTGGTCTGGCCACCCCTCACCCAGGGCTTAGTCTGAAGGCCCCAGCAGGCACGGCTTTGTCCTTCCTTAAGAGCGGCAGGGGGAGGTAAAGGCCCTCCAGGAGGCTACAGACACTCCCTTATGATGCAGGAGGCAGAGACTCTGGGCACCAGGGCCAAGAAGGAGGGATCCAGGAGGGGTTGCATAACTGTCAGCCTCAGAGAGGTGACAGGAGACTGGGGAGCCCGGGGGGTGTAAAGATGCTCCCTATTCCTGAGCAAGGCGGTTACATAACTGCAAGTGTGGCCTCAGGGAGGTGACCTGGTAGGGACACCCAGAGCAGGCACAGCTGCCCAGCTGCTCTGGCCCTTCCCCGCCCTCAGGGAGCCTTGAGCTCCACACCCACCCCCACTCCTCATAAGCAGTCTGCGCAGGCACCTCCCACCGCCCCCAGTCTCTCTGCTTCTCCACATCCTGCCCACCCTTCAGAATCTGGCTCAAGGGTACCCTTCAAAGGAAGGTCTCTAATTCCTCCCATTCCTTCCCTGGGCAGCCGTGCCAAGTGCGGGGTACCAGGGGTGGGGGAGTGGGGGGTAGAGGGTGCTGTCTGTCGTCTGATGGGATGGTCTTCCTGGCTCTGGGCAGCTGGGCAGCCTCGGCCTGAGGGTGCCCCTGGCATCACCCTTCCCACCACGAGGCTGGAGCTCCCCCACACCCCCTCAGGAGGAAGAACTGGGCCCCCATGTGTTCAGCCTCTAGGTTTGACTGTGACTCGTCTCTTCAGCTGGACAATGAATGAGCTGATGGTTCATCTGGTCTGCTGAAGATGGGTTGGGCTGGGGAGGGAAGCGTGTGTAGGTGGCACGTCTGGGTGCAGAGTCTGGGGTTGGGAGGAAGGAGCTGGGCCTCAGAACCCCCAACCTCGTGTGTTCTCCTCGGTGAACAGCAGGGAGCTCCCAGACCTGGGGCAGGTGGTGGGATCAGAGAGACCTGTTAGGGCTTCCTGCTTCCATCTGGTCCCCCAGCTTCCCCCAGCATCCTCTCCTCGCCCCCAGCAGCTCCATGGTGCCATCCCCACCCAACATGTGTGGGAGGAATGTACCTGGATCTGGGCTCACAATGTGATGAGAAGCAGGGCTCCCTGAGGGGTCCGGGGCCCTCTCTTCCTGCTGGGTCTCACCTGCTGTGTCATTCTCCAGCTGAGCTTCCTCCAGGCACCTCTCGTGCTGCGCCTCGATCATCCGCAGATGGTAACATTCCTCCTCCCACTGCAGGTTGGGTGCCTGGCCACCCTGGGGGACAGAGACAGGGAGGGGACCTGTCATCCTCATCAGTGGCCTACCTCTCATCCACAGACTCCAGGAACATGAGGCCCAACAAGGCCTGTCACTTGACTGACCCAAGTTCCAGACAGAACCCCAATCCCAACCCCAGACTAAAACCCGACCCGGACCTGGATTGGACCCAGAACTCCTGTCCGCCGTCCCCAAAGCTGGGTCTGCCTGGAGGGCCCTGCCATGGCTTCCTGGTGGCTTCTAACAGTGCTGCAGCTGTAACAACTTGGTCTTTTGGTGGGGGTGGGGGGGCACTATGGCATTACTCTGGACGAAGGTTGGAGGGCCTCTCTGTGGGGCCCAGAGCTGGCCCTCAGGACTCTGCCACCCTCCAGCCTGGGTTGGGAGTCCTGGGTCCTTGCCTCAGTCTCTCTGGATGAGTAGGGCCCAGCTAGTGCTGCCGGGTTCTGAGGAGTTAGGTCCCTGGAGCCAGGCCTGGGGGGGATCCAGGAGTCTGGGGCTGCATCTTCCAGGCTCTGTCCCCATTCCAGGAGGCTGTGCTGTCTCCTGGGTCACCAGGCCGGGAGGAGGACACTGGCCCTCCTTGCCCAGACCTCACCGGCTTTCTTCTTAGCTTCTGAACGATTCCAGCGGTGTGAAATCTAATGAAGGAGGGGAGGTTTCAGGAAACACGAGAGGCCCCTCTAGGATGGCTGGCCATCCCACCACACCTCCTCTGCCTCTGCCTCTGTCCCTGCCCCTGGGAGGTGGGGACAAGGGATGGGAAGGCCCACGCCTCCCAGCCTCCCCTTTTCCCGCACGCTGGCCAGGGATCAGGGATGGAACCAGACCTGCCTGCCGGCGTGGGGGCAGGCGGGCATTGGCATTGGGGCCAACACGTGAGTACGGGTGATGGCTGCCCAGGGACAGACAGGAAAAAACAGGTCTTGGGAACCACTGGGTGGGCAAAGGCCGGTGAAGGCCTCCATGGAGGATCCACTGAGCTGGTGGGAACTTCTGCGAGTCTCTTTGGCTTTAGGGAAGTGGCTGCCACTCCTGGGCAACCCCATATCAGTTTCCTTCTCCCTGCTCAGGGAAGAGAATGCCACAGTTCCCCAACAGGGCCGTTGGAGAAAGTTCAGCAAGGCAGCTCCAGCATCAAATACTCTCGGTGTCTCTTCCATCTTGCCCCTCCTGCCCTGGGACAAGGTCCTCAATTCCCTCAAATAGGCCTCAAGCAGCTCCCCTGCTGACTCAAAGGCATTTTGCAGTGGGGCTGTGGAGGAAAGCACTTCCTGCCTTCTGGCCTGGTACCAAGGGTGTGACTTTGACCACTGTTCTAAGTAAGGTGACCCCACAGAGGGATAAGCATCCCGGGTGCCAGAGACTCTCCATTGCTATAGAGGAATGGGGTCCAAACAGAAGCTGGACAACTCGGTGCTCAAGAGGCTGCACAGCTGAGTCCCTTCCACTCAACACTCCTGTCCCTTGTGGAGGCCATGGTGAAGCCTCATTGTCACAGAGGTCCTCAATGTCCAACTTTCCCATACTTGGCTAAGAACCACAGCTGGCCTAGCCCAGGTGCAAGGGGAAGGCCTCATTGTCCAGGATGCCTTTCAGACGTCCCAGCACCCAGGCCTCACCCGCCCATGTGCCATGGGCCTGGAAGCCCCACAGTGAACCTGGGTTCCATCTTGGACTGTGAACTTTATCAGCCAATGGAGGTAAAGACATGAGCTGGTAAATCATTTAAAACTTGGCATATGGAAAGTAACACAGATCTATTATGGAGCAGGATATGGTTATTCATATAACTGTTTCAAAGAAAATACATGGGATTTGAAGGAAATGTGCTGTGGTCCCTCTTTGGGGTCACATGCTTCCCTTCTTGCCCCAAAACATTACTCAGACTCAAACACTCGAGATGCTCTGTCTTCAGTGATCTGTGGCCGGTGCATGCTGCTCAGGCATGGGAAGAGGGGTGGCCAAAGGACTCCAGAGGTGACTTCTGGAAGAAGAACCTGGGGACTGGCTCATGTCCCACCATTGGTCTGTCTTGCTTGTCTGGAACACGCTTCTCCCCAAAATGCCTTCCCAGCCCTACTGCCCTCCAGCAATGCAGTTTGTTCTGCCTTCTGGCCCCCTCCCAGCCTCGCCTGTGTCTCCTGCCCATTCTCCACAACCCTCCCCCCCCCACAACATGAACATGGGATGGATGGTAGTAGACCATCTGTTGTTGCTGCCTTCTACCATCCTTTACCTTCCTCTGGTGCCATGTCATCATCTCTATCTGGGAAACTACCTCCTTCCCCACTCCTAGTTCTTGGGGTGCTTGGTGTCTTCTAAGAGGTGATCAGACTTGAGCCCGTCAGAGCATTCCTGGCCTTAGTGCCTGGCACGCAGCCCAAGTCAGGCTGCTCAGAGCCAGCAGGCTCATTCCTGGGATTTTGGATTAAGCGACTAGACAAGTAGATTTGGTCTTTCCAACTAGACTGGAAACCTCAAAGGGTGCAGCGGTTGGAACTGCTGCTACCATCTTGTTGCTTCTTGTGTTGTTGTGGAACACAACAATGAAGGCCACACAGGTAAAGGCTGAATAACGGGATGGAGGAAAAACTGGGTCCTCTTGACATTTTCTGAGTCCCTGGATGCAGCCATGCCTGAAAGTAACCCTGTTTCCAGCAACATGAGTCAGTATCTTTGCTTATTGCTTCAGTAAGTTGAGTTTTCTATCCCTGTAACCAAAAAAGTCCGGACTTGTGCTCTGAGGACAGGACAGTGGATGCCCTCATTTGCTGGGTCCTCTTTTTTTTTTTTTTTTGAGAGAGCACGCAAGTCAGGGGGAGGGGTAAAGGGAGACAGAGAGAGAAAATCTCAAGCAGCCTCCATGCCCAGGGTGGAGACAATGCAGGGCTCAATCTCACGACCCTGAGATCACAACCCGAGCTGAAATCAAGTGTCGGATGCTTAACCAACTGAGCCACCTAGGCACCCCTTTGCTGGGTCCTCTTAAGCCAGAGCTGTGGCCATGCTGTTTGCCAAGAGATAATTCCTTTTTAATCACCAAGGGCATCATAGGGTTCCTAGCACCTTCTGCTTACCACTCTCTGACGGTGGAAGGCTATTGAGTCAACTTCTCTAGCCAACTCTGCCTGCCCCACCCAGCAGCATAGCCACAAAGCCTTTCCTGAGTGGCAGTTTGCAGAGGAGGGGCAGGAGGCCCTGAGGTAATCTGGCAGTGTGGGCTGTCTCTGAATAAAGTGAGGGTAGGCTGGAAGATGAGCTCAGTCTTCACGCCAATTTAGCTGAGTGTTAGACCCCATCTGCAGAAAGGTAGAGGAAAGAGAGACCCAATGGGGGACCTGAGATCCCCTAGCAAGTGCACATTCCTAGATGGGACCTGCATCTCTGACCACTAGTCTGGACTACATCAATCCTGCTCCATGACCTTGCCTTGGGCCATCTGATCTACCATTGCTCTTTGGGGGACAGGGCCAGGGCAGCTCCCTGTAGCCCTTATCACTGAGGAATTCAGGCAGACTTTGAACTTCCTCTTCCACTTATTTCCCTATGCTAAACATCCTCATTATACCTCTGGACTCCAGACACACTAAACTGGAAAATTCCCAGCCAGATACAGCCAAGCCTACTGATTCCAGGAAAGGGTTCCAGGGTGGGATATAGCTGGGGTGTGGGCTTCATAGAGAATGGGTAGTAGAGGTGCATCTTTGAAGAGATGTAAATTTGATCATTAGAGGTGGAGTAAGAACATTCCAAAAAGTAGGAGCAGTGTGTAGAGAAGCATGGAGGTTTGAAAATGCCTAATACACGAAAGGTTGCAAATACACGGTGTGGCTGCGGCCAAGGGTCCTGAGGCATCGGGAGACAAGCTGTGGGACACGGGCAGGGGCCAGGCCTCATCAGTTCCTGCCTGGACAAGTGTACTAGCTTTCAGCCCCACCGCCTGCAACCCAAGGTCCCCAGGGCCTACGAGTCAAAGCCCACACTTCAAAACTGGCATTCAAGGCCTTCCCTATTTCTACCACTGCCTATATTTCCTGACTTGTCTCCTGGTGCCCCACATGGAGAGGAGAAAGCAGGGCTTTCTCTCAGGCCCTTACTAATTCCCCTGCTGGGCTGAGCTCCAATGAGCTTCAAGTCCACCTGACCTTGTGGGTGGGTTGAGGTGGAAGTTTCAGGCCAGATGGAGCCCCCAGCACCCTCTCTATCACAGGAGTTCCTGAGCCCAGAAGAGGAGACCCAGACAAGAGTGAGGAAGTCTGTAGCCTCCCTTGCACCTGGGTCCTCTTCTGTCCCCTGCCACAGTACTGGCTGGATGTGGGAGGTTACGGACTGGATGTTGGCAGGAGAATCCTGAGTCTCTGGTTGGGGGCAGGGATTAACCAAATCTCATGAATTCTGCCTGCTTCCCTGGGTCCCTCCTCTCTGTCCTCACTGTGAGGGTCTTGGGAGAAAGCAGAGCTTTCTCCTCCAGGTGGGGCTCCCTGAGATCTGGGGTAGGGTGCAGATGCTGGGATTTGTGGCTCTTAGATGCTCGGGGCTCTGAAAGACAGGGAGAGGGGCTGACTCAGGTTTTGTGGGTGCCCTACCCACCCCTCAAGGGGAGCTTGAGCTCACAGCTCCTGGTTTGGAATCAGAACCTTCAGCCTCATCCAGGGACAGAGAACTGTGACAGTAGGAGCCAAGGGAGCCTGGTGAGGGAGCAGGAGTCCCTCTGAGAGGCAGCTGGTTTCTGAGAGGGGTCTAAAATGCAGCAGGCTGTTGGATTTGGTGAGACAGAAGAAAGAACCTCCTGCCCACAAATTGCCAAGCCCCGGGAGCTACCCTGAATGACTTGTGCTTCTGAGGCTTGTTGAGGAGGGCCCTTTGCCCCTGCCAGGGATGACTGGGGAATGGGGGAATAAAGAGCAAGGGTGGCCCCATTTACCATTCCCCCATCACCAGCTCATGTCCCGTGATTTATTTTAGCCTCCTCCCCCCATTGAAATAATGGGGCA